CGCCTGCTCCGACCTGTTTCACAACTTTAGGACTGCCAGTCAGATACACCAGCAGCGGACGCCAAACACCAGTTTCCTGCGCCCGAGACTAAGTTGACGTCTTGCGCTGCATCCAAGGAACAGACAGCTGCAGGTGTATCCTGTGAATGGTAGTGAAAACTACAGCCCGAGACACATGCAAGATGTTCTTTGTTAGCACAAAACAGCAGTTTCGACAAATAATAGCGGCCTCTGATTGTCTAGCCTCATAGTCCTCGTTCACTTATTGCACCGTGAAATTCCTGTCCTCTCATGGCGGGAAGTCCACATCACATGACCAACGACCCACACTGTATGTACGCCTCTTCAAGCGTTGACAAAGACAAGTATTTTGCGGCTTTATAACTACGACCCCAATTACTAAAATCAGGACATTATAGTCAGTATTTCCTGCCAGGACTTGTCCTACCCTCATCCGCCACCGACTCGCCGCATGTCAAGCACAATGGGAGCAAGAAGCCCGCTTTCAAATCACCCAACGCCACCGTTGCCGGCAATGTTCCTATGTAAGGCGGCCATATTCTGCCACGGACCTCACTAGTCATTGGTCGATTTATCCATTGATGCTCAACTTGCCTTTTTGTGTTGGTACCCCGTATCTCTGTGACAACTTGCCTTCCCATTCACAAGCACCACCCCTACAGGCATCCCTCACGATGCCCTATGAATTGAAAAGTCTTGCAAAAAATTGGAACCAGACGTTACATGTCCGTCTATTGTAGCCACCACGTGGTCGCAAGGTATTGACATCCTTTGTGAACCTACCTAGGTACCTACCTACTATCTCGTTCCCAAAAGCGTCTGGTCCAACTGCCTTTGTTCGGATCCCAAAAGGCGCCACAAAAATCATCGCCTTTGTACAATGCATAAACTACAAAAAGTTCCCTCCTAGCTGAAACCGTAGCAGACTCCGAAAATAGCACTCGACATTTTTAAGTGCTAGTCCACTTAGTTGCCAACGGGTACCAAGAATTGGTCGGTGGGAACACAAGCAAAATTGTACTCAATACAGCCGCGAAAGTGACTGGGCACGCTTTGGCCAGTTGTGCGAACAGTCCAATCAAGCGGCTTCTGCAACGAGCCTCGGTCAGAAATAAACTCCAGAACTGGACTGCACAGCATAACTACCCGGCCTATGGACTGATGGGTGTTCACGAAACGAGGCAGGTGCAACGAAATACAGTCTGTGGCAAAATAAATTTACCTGCCGCGGAGTATACACGTATATGTTATAATATGAAGCTTAATAACCAGGCACTTGATCTGGTTAAATACTTTTGACACCACACTATAAAAATAATAAAATAACACCGGCGAACTTAATGCTAACTATATGAAAATACATAGAATAATTCTAACGCTAAAGCTAGAGAATGCCAATGATATTTTAATCAGTAGGCGTCATGAAATCACTCGCCTTCTAAACAAACACGCTGCGCTGCGCAATCCCATTCTTACCCACACAATCAATACAGACGCAGGGCCAATGCTAGGCTACACACAAAGGAGACATGGTATCCAACATGCGCGACGAGCGCCCCGACATGGTGCGGCACGATGCTGTGGGAGAATGCTTATGGGGCGAAACACCGCCCTGTATCGCAGTCAGGGCTGCGGCCATGACGTACAGAGCCAGATTGGACATGAACGCAGCCGTTTGTACGACGCTTACTCCAACATCAATGGAGGATGCGGATGCCACAGATGAATCGAGGCTAGTAGTTGGTACCTTCCAAGAAGTTAGCGGTTGCTCATTGGTTAGAAGACGGTGCAGTCGTATACGTACGTTGTCTAGGTTCTGGCCCGGTGAGGTATCTCCCGCGACAACAACCGTGCCCGGGGGAACACAAATAACCACCTGGCTCAGCGGCTCGGAACTGGGAACCCTGTTCGGCCTGGAGCCATACTCATTCACGGATTCGCCCGCGGTGACATGGCTCATGGTAGCAAATTGGCCACTGCTGTTGCTGCTCAATGAGCTGTGGCCCCTACCGCCAACGCCTTCGTTGGCAGAGTGGAACTGGAGTTCGTCTACAGACAGGCCAGGCCCGTCCCACTCGTTTGCCTCGCCGTCAGGTACGGTCTCATACAGCGGAGGTGGACATTCGGAGAGTGAGGGTTCATTCAGGCCTGGCAAACTGCTAGTCGAGGCGCCAATCGGCAACATACGCTCATCCTCGGAAAAGCTGGACTCGGGCGAGTACAGATTGAAATCGATGTAATCGCTTGACGAGCCAGAACGTTCCAGGAAAGGGAGGTTTGGTGAAATTTCCTGCAGCTCTGGGTTGACAAACTCGGCGCCCGGAGGTGCGCCCAGTTCGGGCTGGGAGAATAGCGCAAATGACCTGAGCGGCGAAGCAGCGGAAGATGATGAAGTAGTGGTCGTGGGTTGTGAAGACAGATAAGCCTCCGATTCGAGGGCGAAGTCGAGGTCTGGGGTATCCATGGGGGGGAACTGGATAAACTCGTCGAATGGGTCGTAAGTCAGAGTAGCAGGGTCGAGGTTTTCGAGGCCAGAGAAGTCAAAGCCCGAGTCTAGATCGAATGATGATGATGCGAACAGCAGTTCTCTATCCGGTACAGCAGCCGACGGTAGACAAGGAGGGTCTTGAGGTGCGGCCCTCGCCTTCTTTGCAGACTTTGAAGCAGGCGGTGGTGCGGCCTGAGCGGCTCCTCGCTTCTTGTGGCTCGGATCGCAACGAATCTTCTTGCGCCGGCAGCTGTCGCATGCCTTGATGATTCTCATGAGGTGAGCGTGGTCACGCTGCTCCTTTGTCTTGGATCCCCGAGAAGCAGTGTTGGTCACATCTTGGCCATCCTTGGTGAGAATCTTCATACCAGGAAGATGTGAGAAGTCGGTAGTCTGATGTCTGGAAGGCGAGCTCTTGGCCTTGCTCTTTTGTCGACTTTGTGTTGAGCCGCGAGACGACGAGGCTACTGAGGGTGCCGATGTTGCGCTCCAATCCCAAGAGGGCGTGGTGGGAGAGACGTTGAATGACGAGTTGACCGAGTCGAGAGAAGGGCTGTCTATTGAAGGAGAAGTAGCTGCAGATGGTGCAGAATTCACAGCGTAGAACTTGAAGTTCTGCCCAGTCATCTGAGCATACTCGAGGAAGTCCAAGGAGATTGTGGCCCGCTTCTCACTGGCGGGAGCAGGACCAGGAATGAAGGCGTTGATGAAGTCATCGAGCTGTTGCGATCCGAGAGCAGGGAGGAATTGCAAGGGAGCACCGAGAGTATGTTGGTAGACAGAGAAACCCTGTGGGAGAGTAGAGGCGGACTGGGTAGAAGCCATTTCGTACTTGAAGCGCAAGATGTCGATACTAAAGCAGTCCAGGTTGATTGTGTTAAAGAACCCTAAACTGGTTTCGGAAGTCGCCAAGGTGGTCAAGCTGAACAAAGATGCTGACCGACAGCCATTGAGTGTGTAAGCCAAAAACCGCTTTTGTGTTATGCGATTTCTGGCAACTTACTACGTTTTCCGGAGAAGTTATCTCGGAGTTTCAATGAGGGATATCGTGTGCAAAAAAGAAGAGCACAACCAGATAACAGATCAAGTACCGATGACAACAATCTGACACAGGCTGATATTCTGCTTTTCCTGGAACCCAAGGAGTGAATCCCAGTTTCCCGGCGATGGATAGTAGGAGGGGGTAAAGAGTGTGAAGCCGAAGCTTGAAGGAGGAGTGACAAAGTGGTGGCGTTGTTGGAAGCCTCAGGGATCGAGGTTTCAAGAATTGTACTTCTTTTCTTCTTCCTCGTATCCTTACTTTGTTCTCCTTTGGTGACTACAACAAAAGATTCTAGTCAATGAGCTGACAAGAGACGGGGAGAAAAAAAGATATCGAAAAGAACCTCAGGCTCTGTGCGGGAGGGAGTCATGGACGGTATTTCACTTGAAGCATTTGATCAAGGCGCAGCAGGGGAGGAGGCTGACTCTTTCGGCGTGCTCAATCAGGAATGGTGTGGGTTAGCCATTGGGGTGGCATCGCCCAATAAGGGCCCGTCATCTTGCCAGGGGTTGCGATTTCACGAAAGGCCATTGGCCAATGTGCCCCACCTGTTGCACCATCCGCAATGGACCTTCGGCGAGGATGCGCCACGACGATTGGTCAATGCAAGTCGACGGCTTGCAAGAGTGACTCAACTGCTGAAATGTCGGACTGGGGGAGTTTTTGGCGAAAGTGACCTCCATTTTTACCCCAGACTCTAGCAATCTGCATGTACATACGTACATTACTCCGTACGGACTGTGGCCCATGTTAAATTTTTGGGAACTTTGGAAAGCTGGCTCGTGTGAGAATGCATGAAGGAAAAATTAAGATGTGTTCGTTCCCCCGCCAAAGACCTGCGTGTGAGATAGGGCCAGCGGCGGCCATTTTGTGGTCAGCCAAACCTTCGCCAACCGCCGCCAACGCCAAAACTCTAAGCCTCCCCGCATGGCCACAAGGGTACGCAACCAGCCCTCAGCGCCATGGTCGTCGGTATACTACAGAAATTTGAATGAAACTCAATGCCTCTGGCTAGCCTGAGGCACTGTGGCATGGATACGGCTGGTGCAAGGCGCGGCATGTGGCATGTGGTGCCAGATGAGATTGAAGCTTGTCTCGGTGGGCTGCGTGGCGCCATCAATGGCGCGAAAGGATCGTCGTCCCGCTTTGCTGGACTGTGCTGACAAACGGCTCTACCATCAGCCTTATTACTCGAAGTGAGATCGGGCTGGCCGTCGTATACCTCGTGTTCTCTGCGACCGTGGACTGTGTTCTGGCTTTGTAGCTCCAGCCTTGTCAATAGGACGCAATGGTTAGTGTCGGCTAATGAACAGCTGCATATATGTATAAACTGTCAATGTATGCATAAATTCGTCATCGTAACTATTTCTACCGCTAGTTCATAAGAACAGTCAAGTGTATAAACAATGGACATCACATCCCAAGTTGATCCCTTGACATGAACAACTATTATCCAAAAGTCGTCATCGACAGCCCCTTCTTCCCTGTCGGCCGAGTCATCCCGAGCAAATCTTCAGCGTGTTTGCTCCATGCGCCTCCGTTCGCACTCGTGAAACCCGGCAACGCCTTGTCCGACTTCCTGGGCTCAGGCTGTTTACTCCTAGACAATCGCGCATGTTGTGGTGCCTCGAAAGGAACAATCGTTTGTGGGGTTAGGCCAGCCGCGTCTTCTTTTCGCGCTGCCTTTCTCCCACGAGTTGCTGGGTTAGTAATCATGGGTTTCGGCAAAGTTCCCTGCTCTACTATAGCTGCTTCTTTTGCAATTGGCTCTTTTGAGACTGAATCTTCCACTGTCATTTCGGTTGCGCCTACGGGCTTCATCCCTTGTTCGGGGTGCTTAGGGTCGTCATGGACGGCTTCCTGCACTGGTATTCCAGTATTTTGTTCTTTTGCGGGTGCATCCCCTGATGAATCCTTGGTCCCTTCAACGTGTCGCCTCTCAGCTAGCCCAGGAGTCGGGGTTGCTGAAACCACGGGTCCAGGCTTGATCGTCAAGGTAATACCCGGCAGGCGAGCTGGAGCCGCTGGTGGCCTGCCCACAGTTCCAATACGCGCAGTGGCCATTGCGAATGGGGCTGGTGCGAGCTCTTCTTGACCAGCTGGCAGCATAAAGCCAAATATCTCCTTGCATTTGACGCTCTTTCGAGCCATTCTCGTGATACGCGGTCCCTTGGGCTTCTCGGACTTCTCTCCAGCATTGGGGACTGAATCGCGTTTACTCCTAGTTCGTTTTGGCTGCCTGGCTGGTGGCTGTTCTGAATCTTCCTCACTAGAACATCCAGTTAGGGGAGATTCGGAAGCACTTCTAGTCTTAGTTCTTCGTGTCTTTTTCGGTGATGGGTGATTCGCTTCATCCTCATCAGTAGACGGACCTAGGTTGTCTCTGGAAGTGGCTTTTCTCCCAAGTCGTCTAGTCCGTCTCGGTGGCAAGTCCTCAGATTCAGATTCACTCGATTGGCCGTTTGTCGGCCGTTTCGGTGATCTCTGTTGTTTCGTTCGTGGCCGCTGGGCTCTCTGATCAGAATCCGATACCGTTTCCGCATTTTTTCTTGACGATTTCTTCGACCTGGACTTGGCGGCTGGCAAATCGGATTCACTATCAGAAACAAAATTAATGGGCATTTCTGTACAATGGTGAGGGCTGGACTCTGGTGTCGCCTTGATAGCTTGTCCTTCATCTAGATCCTCGAATGCTTGACTTGGCTCTGTGTCAGGCTCCGAAACCTGTAATTGTGGTGATTTTGATGGTCCAACATTGTCCACATTCATAACTGCGACGGAGTTTATGCTTGAAGTTGGTGTGACAGACGCAGGTTGCTTTTGCTGTATCTGTCTTCGTTCTGATAGCATCAACAGCCCTCGCCTCCGTGTAGGCTTGATCCGTAATTCAGCTCGTTTCTCCGGCCGTGTTTGAGGTGACACAGGCCGGTGTGGTTTGGACATTGTAGTGCTAGTTGCAACTTTTTGCCTCTGTTCGAGTTCCTTGTGGGCGATTTGTTGAGGCTCAGTAACGTCTGGTGATGATTCAATCTCAATGGCTTCGGCGGAAGATTGCGGTGTGCCACTTCGAGTTGCGGTATTCACAGCCACCTGTGGTTTGGTAGCACCTGGTATAGCCTGCCTCTTCGTCTGCATACTATCACCATGTCGACCAACAGGCTTGGCCAGGTCTGCTTCCTCCACATGCAATTCTGTCATGGCTCGTGGTTCGGGATTATTAACAACGGGATGCAAGTCTGCGTTCCGCTTGAGTTGGGCTGGTCGCTCCTCCACCAGCACATCATCCTCCGCACTTGTTGGAGCTGTCTTCTCCAACTCCTCGTCAAAATGCCTCGTATTCTGATCGATCTTCAATATCGATCTCCTCTCAACCGTTTGATCCGTTGCCACAGACAACTCAACATTAGGCTGCCTCGAGCTCTGCATCGTGCCTGATCTCTGCTTCTCATCAACCATTGTAGGGAGACCCTTGGGTCTAATTTTGTCAGCCGCCGGTACAGTACCCCGCAAAGTTGGTTCCTGAAGGTGTCTGGATTTCTTCACCACCACTTTCGACCGCCTCTCATCCACAATGACAATATCCTCATCACCCTCCAAACTCGGCCTCTTCTCACCCCCACCTTCTTCCCTTTGCAAATTAGTCCTCTCCCTCAGCGCCCGCATCCTCAAAGGCGCCATCCTTCCAGAACCGCCTAAATTCAACCTCGTCCCAAACAAGCTCTGCGCAAATCCGGCCTTGCTAGGCGGCGAAGGACAGACTCTTCTCTTCTTTGCGGACGGTCCATCCATCGCCACCCCCTCCGCTTTACGAGCTTCATACGGAGAACGGTCGGAAATAACAGCACGTCCAATAGGCCCTGGGCTAGGAACTATTGAATGTAAAGGTCGGTGGTTCAGTTGAAAATGAGGCTGCTGCTGTTGCTGGGGTTGAGTTCTGGCTCTGCTCGGCGTCGGAGTCTTGGCAGCCGCCATGGCCCTCCGCTTCTCAACTTCTCGTGCGCGCTTATCCAGTATTTCGGTAAGGTCTTGCTCGCGCGACCCCGTGCTCTCGCCGACCTGGACTATGGCAGCGCCCCGATCGAGCTCCAGTTCCTCGTCTTCTTGCAAATCCCCGCCCCCATGCCAGTGGGCGTCGCCGATGAAATTGCCCCTGTCATCGTAGACCATGATGCGTTTGTTGAAGGTGTGGTATTTGAGCCTGCCATCTTGCCAGCGCTTTTGCTTTCTGCGAAGATCGTGCGTGAAGAGGCAGCTGTAGTCGATGACGGTGGCTGTGGTTGGAGGAGGGTCGCCGGATACGTTTGGCGCCGTAGAGGGGTTGATAATCCTCACGGCGTAGGACATTGCGCTGGTTTTGGCATGGCTTGCTAGCGGCAGCGCCTCTCTCGGTGATGATGCCGTCTCAAACGCTGCTGCGGTGATGATACCTCCATGGACGTGTACCTAGGGCGTGAGTGAGACGCGTGGGGTGCCACATGGCGGTTTGACGCGACGCCAAATCACGTGCGCCATTAAACTACCCTACGCTTTGGAGTGTTTGGTGTTGGAATTCTGCTTGGTGTTGATTGAGATGAAGTTGTGATTTTCCAACCATTCAATAATTGATCAGGGTTTTCTTCTTCTTCTCTGTAATTTGGTCTGAATGACGGATATAACAAGGTGGTTGGTGTAGATTGTGTTCCAAAGCGCAGATGGTGTTAACGAAACGCTGCCGAGTGCTCACCACTGACCTGGTACAGATTTCACCTCCATTTTTTAGTACCCAAGCAGAAGGACAAAGACTGGAGTGAACTGTTCGAGGCTTGTGCTTAGGCTTGTAGCAAGATTCCCACAACATTGAACCATTCAAATTGGCACCAGACTCTGTAGCAATCATACTCGATAACTAGGGTGTAAAGCTAGCCGCAGCTGGTCAAGTGGCCCATGTTGCACCCGTGTGCCTCTACACTCACCTAGATACTTTAGTTACCTAGGTAGTTGTGGTTGGCCAGACCCGACCCAGCCCAAGAAAACCAGGCTATTTATTCAACCTGAATCTATTTATATACCTGCTATGGTCAGAAATTTATCGGCCAGAAATACATAATAGTACATCAGATAAGTACCAAGCAAGTCTAGGCTCCTATGAACATCTACATCTACCCCGCCCTAATTATGCATAACCTTATATTTATCCCACCAGTTGAATCCTTTTTTTTGTCTTTCTATCTGAATACGACTCCGTACTCGTGTGAGAACATTGAACTGCATTAGGCAAGGCCCAACAAAATTAACACTCTGTTCTTCGTCTACACTAGAGAACCAAGTCCCGCGTCAAACACCACGATACACGCACGCCACGCATCAAAAGCTAGCAGATTAACGATAAGAAGACGACATCACGGTCGAAAATAAACACCATCCGGTAGCTTCCTCAACCCAGAGGGCTTATTTATTCCACAAAGATATACGTCCGTCAAGCGTCTGCCAGAATACCGACATACCAGACCCAATTCCACCAGACACACCAGTCATCCCGCCATACAACACTGCAAGCCCTCAATTCCCCCCCGCAAAGCGCGCAACCCTCCTCTCCAGCACGTCCTCCACAATCCCCCCAAACTCATCGACAATCCTCCCGCCCCTAAACATAATAAACTGCGGCAGCCCCGTAATCTTATACCGGGCCACCAAGTCGCGCAGCTTATCCCCGTCCACCACCACAAACGTGAGGTTCCCATACCGCCGCGACAGCTGCTCGTACTTGGGCCCAATCCAACCACACGGCTTGCACCAGCCGCTCGTGAATTCCGCCACGAGCTGCTTCGTCCCGACGAGCGCGTCGAACTGCGCCGTGGTTTCTATTTCCGTCACGGGCATTTTTTGAAACGGGACACTAGAGATCCCCCTACGACGGATGAGATGAAGATGAAGCTAAGAGAGAGAGGGTGAGAGAAAAGAGGAAACCAGAAAAATAGGCAGTCACATCAGTAGACTTTATACCCGCATCGCATAACGTGAGCATGTTTTCACAGGACGGGAAACAACTCTCGTAATGTGACCTCAAGAATGCCCTCCGCCACTTTCACCGGCAAACTCCAATAGTGGCCACATCCGATCGTGGGGGCCAACATGTCCATTGTCAGCAGTACGAGGTCGTCTGCAATGTAACCGGGTTGAACGCCAAGATTCCAAGACGACACAGCTGGCACTGTCATGGATGCGACTGCGTCGACCTTCTCATTGGAAATTGGGAGTACATCTGCAGTCACACCACCATGCAGTCAAGAATTAAAAAAAAGTACGTACTCATGCTATAGAAGGGCCAAGTCTAAATAAATCTAAGGGTATCGACGTATGTTCATTAGACATGCCACTTCATTGTCCAAAACTCCCCGCAAAAGTCAAATTGATAAATTGTACAGGACGCCGAAAATGCTGCCAAAAAGCAATGCTGCCAATTCATGTTTCGAGTGCGAAATCCTCGACATCCAATAATACTGGACCCAGGATGTACAGTTATAACTTTTGTAATGATAGCCTTCATAGCGAATTTGCCGGGTGCCTTGGACCAGGTGGAGTGAGGCCATCTTTGGACAGCGGCGAGTGCGATTTTATCCCTCTGTCTACATAACCGCTGCTGCTCGCCTCGAGCTCCATGGGTGTGACGGGTCCAGGACTACCCAGAGGGTGGAGCCTTGGTGAAAGAGGCTTCTGTGAAGCTGGCCCTGACAGCCAAATATCCTTCGCAGGCAGTCCGTTGAGGCACACGCCGTTTCCTGTCTTGGTAGACGCACCCAGTACCATGGTGGCCTGCGCAATCATGTCCCGTTGATACTGTTGCATCTTGCGACGCATTTCCATTTGAGGGTTATCGCCTCGAATTGGGTCGGGCCTAAGTTGCGGGAGATCAGAATTTGACTTGACAGAGGATGAAGCCATATCGGAAATAGGTGCCGGTTGCGGGCCATCTGAATCGGACTGCGGGTGTTGTTGCTCATAGTTTGATGGGTAGTATTTACCCATCGGCACAGGAGCGTCGTGGAATCCCGGGGCAATATAAGATGACACTGGTGTGCTTGTGTTGGCCATGGACGACGACATGGCTGTGTGAGAAGTCCTAGCTCGCTCGGCTTGCATAGTGATTGAGTCAGAGGTTCGCTGAGGTCGAGAAAGCGGAGCGTCATGAAAAAATGGGTGTGGACGATGGATTCTGCTCTTGGGGTCCTCGTGCATGGGAAAGTAACCCCTTTTTTACGATTAGTTTTCTTTTTTCCTTTTTCATGAAAATTGATCGTCAAGGATTGGGTAGGTCTCACCCTGGAAGATCACCACGAGCAGACAGAGGCTCCGGAGGTGTGCGAGCTGAGCCAGAAGTATTGTATTTCCCCAGCTTGGGAAGTTCAATAGCAATGGGATTGCTGTTTGATCGAGAAGAGCCAACAGACAAGTCGGGACTGCCTACATACGTGGGAAGCGTCGTTAGTTGCCACTGCTGTTATGTGCGCCTAGTCGAGATATATGGGGATGGAACATGGGGATGGAACCCGGGCATCGGCAGCCGCGAAGATTGATTAATGCTAGACCACCACCGTCATCAACAACGGGCGTTCGGACTGGACGGAATGGGTAGACCGTTTTGACAGGTCCACAGAGCGGCGCTCTTTTGCTGGACATGACGAACGACCCCCCTCCGTCCCATCCGTGGCCCTGATTCGCACCACTTGGAGGGCCTGTCGCACAACGGGTGGAGTTCAGGATGCCTGTGTAGTGATGAAGCGGCACTGTGCTTCGTACGGAGCTGCCTGTACCCCGCGATGGGCTGGATGGCTGGAAAAGGTGGTGATGCGGTGTGGAGATGGTCCATGTCGCGATTTGCCGCAGACGGCCTAGTCGCCAAGCCCATGCCGCATTACAGCATGGGCTTGGCAGGACGAGCATCGAAGCAAAGGAACGTAGACGAGGGAAGATTCGGGGTGGTGGTGGATCTGGGTGTTTGTTTGGTGGCGCATTTGCACCTGTAGCAGTTGAACGGGGATAACAAAGTTTGGGAACATTTTTGGCGAAACATGGGAATGGCTCAATCAAGGAAAATCGAGAAGAAAACGCGGCGTCTACGTACCTTTGGTAGATTGTGCTCCGTCTGCTGCCACGGCCCCAGGAGCAGGAGACATGAATGGCGAACTCGGTGCCGATGCTACCGGCTGGTCGACAAAGTAGTCCGTCTGGTGTGCCGCGGCGGCACTCGGGGTCAAGGACAGCTCGGACGAGTTGGACAAGGTGCGACCGGGCATTCCTGGACGTCGACGGGGCGATAGGAGTGCCGATGGCGGCTTGAAGGACCTGGCGAAGCTGGCCATGACGATATCAGGTACTGTAAACTGGGCCAAGGAACTTTTTTTTTTTTTTTCGTTTTGGCTGGAGGCGTTGGGTGGCTGAGGGGCAGCAAAATGGCGAGAAACGGTGATGGTAAACGACTAGGCGATTTCTGGCAAGATGTGTTGTATCCGCGACAGTTCAATGACGCCTTCGATAGGCTATGTATGCATGGGAAAGTCGAAAAGTGGTTGCAATTTGGGGGTTGAGTAGTGGTCGGATTGTGAAGGCTCGATTGTGCCTGGGTACGCGTGGTGGAGGGACTCGATCGGGGTCCAGCCGGGTACCGAGTAGAGATTGTAGGGTCGAGGGTTGGAGTGTCGTCAGTGCCGATGAGGTAGACAATAGTGGTGGCAACTCGCTGGGCTTGGATTCGACGACAAAGTTTCGATTGGAAATGAAATGTAAATGATGAGTTTGGATAGGGAGGCTGGCCGGAGACGGAGCAAACAGACAAGCTGTCAAAGGGCGTTGAAGGGTGTTGACGAGTGTTGAAGGGTCGATCGATGCAAGGGCCTGGCCAATCAGAGACGCACGAGATGTCTGGTGCAACGAGCAATCAACTCGGACTGCTTGTTCGGTGTAAAATTTGGAGAATTGAAGCCGCTGGCACGTCCAACATGGACATTGGATGGTTGGTGGTGGCTGCAAGTGGTGAGACGGGCCACTCAGCTCTGGCACTGGTTGACGGTTGCGTGCCTCAAATACCAACTGCAATCAGTGTACGGAAAATTGACTTTTTTACGAAATCGTGCTTGCCGACTTGGGAAGGGCGAAAAAAAGAAGGCGAAGTGAGGTCACCTTGACCGTGCACTTGACCTGTCCGACATCTGACGAGGCAAACGCACACGCACGCCAGAAGTATTGCGAGCACAATCTGCAGTATCCAGGCAAGCACACACAACTGAGAGTGAGCGCCCAACAGACTGGCGGGCCCAATAAGACAAAGAAGGGATAATAAAAACAAAAAAAAAAAAAAGGCAGCACACGCCGAGCTGTCGTCTCGCGTGACACTTGTACCGACACGCGATGATGAGCAAGCAACAGCACAAAGAGCCACAAAGGGCCCATGTGGACCACAGGAAAGCCTTGGCCCTTTGGCGGCTCTCATGACATTATTACGCTCGCATTTGCAATCACCACCGCGAAACTTGGGCCACCCACCAGACACTACTAGGGCCGGAGATGCAATGCCCAACACGTTGTCGGCTAGAGGACCGAGCCCGAATCAGGTCCTGGCGGGGACGAAAAACATGGCGTCGAGTCGGTCTGTTAGAATGCCGACGTCATATCTTCTTTCGTCCAGCCTCGATGGTGGATCTTCATCACGACAGTGTGGGTATTCATTCGGACATTCATTCATGTGCGAGCGTCTTCTGCCACTGCGCCTCGGTGCCGCCTCGACTTATCGTTGTCTCTCAACCTCTCTATCTGCCAGTCTGTGTCCTCAAGTACAGCCCGCTTGCTCTTTTTGCTTTCGACCACAACCCACGCCACGACGATCGCTGTCCATCACCCATGACCCATGCTCCCGCTGGCCACAACACAACCCATGCCCTCCAACCCGTTTTGTCACCGCATCCATCAACCTGGCCGGAGGGGTGTTCCATCTTGCCGTCCCTGGCGCTAATCGTGGCTTGCTGTTTTCAGGACTTGTGCTTGCCGCCGTCCAGCCGCGCCAAGTTCACGTTCCGTACGGAGTAGATCCGAGTAAGTGACCAATTTTCCAACCTCAGCCACGTGTCTACACCACCCAAACGCCATCCTTGCAAGTATCGATGTACTTCAGCTTCCCTCCGTCTCCAATCCATCTCTGCAATGATGCCACAGCACCTGTAACACGCGGAGCAAACTCCAACGCCATCCAGCGTAGATCAACGAGATTAGCAGCACTAGCATCTCAAACTCCCACCACAAAACACGCATGACTAGCTGATTTCGACCTCGGAGCGGCACTATCAGTACGAATTCCGATCCGCGTTTGATCGTCGACCACAATTCAAAAATGGCGCCCAGACGCTGCCATCACCCTGTAGATCTGCGAGGGCCTAGGTCTCGCGGAGCACTCTGACGCTCTGAGCTAGCCACCAAGATGATCAATGAAGCCAAGGCTGAACTTTCAACCTTCCTCAATTCATTATTATGCCGAATAAGTCAGTGCGGTCACGTATGAATATCTGCTTCAGGATTAAGGGTGGCGATGCTGCCGAGGAAGCTTTCTTGAAGCAAGGTGCTGCCATAAGGCTCACTGGGCTCAAGGGTCACCGTGATCCGTGAGGAATCTGAGCGGAATCTGAGCAAGCAATTATAACTCGGTTCTTCTTCAAGACGCGGCGAAACTTGCCAACTTTATTGGCACTTTTTCTTCGCAACGGGTGAAGTGATGGGTGTGAGGCTGTGTTGGCTGTACGAGACAAGGCTATAGCAAAATACTTGCGTCGTGCTGCACGCGCAAGGCTGAACTGTACTACAAGTGTCGCGCGACTAGGTTTCCTAAATAGGCTGACGGAGGAAACAAAGGACACAGGCATTAGCACAAGCACTACCCCCATCTAGGCTATATGTTCATCATATTAGTATATGACAATATCGCAATGGCTGAGGCGATCGAGAGATGGCCTGCGCCGGCACGCCGCGATGAATCACCAATCTTGGTAGCTTCTGACGCATCGCGAGCCTCTGGCTAGGATGATCAATCAAGAACTCAACATGTTGAAATGATAGTACATGGTATTAGTGTATACTTCTTCATAGGCAAATATTACGCGTCGACTTCACATGACCTTGCCACGCCCCCCACGCGAAACCCTGATGCTCCTCACCGTCGGCCTCGAGGCACCGCATCATTACTCAAACACGAGCGCGTCCAGTAAACGTCGATCGGGCATCACGGTGCCTCCACCAGTAGACGGTAGTGGCAACGGCAGAAATCAGCCACAGAAGCGCGCTGGTAAGATCAACCCACACGGCGTTCTTCATGCGCTGGATGTCGCCGTCGCCCTCGGCATTCTCGTGTATGAACAGCTGCGACCGCGGTGTTAGTCCCGCCCGCCATGGCGACGCAGAAAAGTCGAGTCACCTACCGCGCCAAACACTCCAAACAGCGTAATCCACAGAATGAAGAGTATCGAGTTCCAAACAGCCCCGAACACGCCCGCGTGGCGCAGAAGAGCAGGCACGAACCAGACGACGCATGTCACGGCCGACAGTGCACCTACAACGACGGCATAGACCTGTTGCAAGCCTCGGGATTAGCTTCTCGCGCAATGCTCTCGCGCAGTGGGGGCCAACACGCGTGCGGAGAGTCGACTGCTCACCCATTTAGAGTCGCTGTGTACGTGTTGCCGGTGGGCGTGGTTGAGGTCCTGGCCGTACAGACCGCACACCGCCAGCGCCAGCGCGAAGCACACCAGGTGCAGGGCGCAAAAGGCAAAGTAGCCGATGGACGTGGCGAAGAAGCCCATGACGGCCGGCCGAGATGTCAATTGAAGTACGGAGTACGGTGGCGCACAGCCTTCGGGCGGAAGACGAATCGATGGCTTGTTGACGGCGTTGAGAAATGCAAGGGGGAAGAGGGGGAATATCTACGGGGGAGGGCAAAGGGGTTTGGGTATTTAAGTAGATGATGTACCTGGCTATCGCGCTTTATAGGGCAATATATTAAAGTTTACTAGTGTATACTTCTCGATGCGACTTGCCTGGCGGGTTTACGCTTTTTACTAGGTGCGCTTCTTGCCTTACTCTTTATAAAATATATTCTAATATATGCTGTATATATTAATATATACTAATATAATACCTGATAACCAGGTACTAGATAGCGGATAGCGCGTGAGCGCATCTAGCAAAAAGAGTGAGCCCGCCGAGCAATTCACCTTCTCGACGCGCAAATTGCCACGGACTGTAAACAGGCACCCGGTCGTCTTCTATGAAACCTGGGCGACCCGCCTCCCGGTCCAGTTAGTCAACAGCGCCGCTCTTGCTCAAGCTCTTGTCACGCCTGCTTCGTGATGCTCTTTTAATCACCTCAACCTGCACCTTCCGACAGGATACATACGAGCCCGTCAATTATACGTAAGGCAACAACCCCTCGTGCTTGCACTGTATCTTGTCGACTTCATGCGACCTTCGCCATGGTTCAGGATCCAGTCGCCAGCGCCAGGGGAGAGATTGGCTCGCGAGCCCGCTGTTGGAAAGGTTCACGTGGCTTGGAGGACTCTGGGTTGTGTGGTAGATGAGAGAATCAAGGGCTTCGCCTGAGTTACCCCTATCACAATGTGATGGAAAAAGAAGGCCTGCAGTTGCTGCCTTGTACGGAGAATATTCTAATATTGATATAGTACTAGATTAGGAAGCCCTGTGGCCTCATATGACGATGAAGTTCATGATCACTGTGGCTGGCCCAGCCAAGGCCCCATGAGACGCAAGCCGCCTGGCGGTGTTGGTGCAAGTCACCAGGTGTACTCATTGTATGTCAAGATATGTAAGAACTTCCAGGGAAGAAGCAGGGCTCCAGGCCGAAACTCAGTGTGTCACAGCAAGTGCAAGCATCCCCAGTCGATTTGGCAAGTCCAAGGGGCATAAAACACAGACCGCCCGTACTTGTAAGCTAAAGCTAGACCTGCTCCGATACGACCAGCGCGCTGTTTCGGCGGCGCATCGCAAGAAGCAATGTGCATTAGCCCCTGGAACTGGTAACGATTTTCATGAAACGACCTGCAAGACGCATCTCTTTTCTTCAACGGAAAGGCCGTTCAAGGTCCAGACATTCAATACCAAGCCTTGCGCAATGGACTCCAGTGCTTGGGGATCAAGACGACTACTCAATGGGAATTCCCTGGTACTCGTCGTATCCGAGGGCGAGGTTCATGTTCTCTGTGCAGTCGTTAGCAAACCATGAAAGCCTTCGTTACGAACCGACAGTACTTACGCAGGCATTGCGTGGCGGCACCCTTGTTTAGATTATCAATTGTGGCACAGCTACAGAGGTTAGTTGGAGCCTTTGGGGGTTCAATCTCAGGTGCGGACACTCACATAACGACGCGCTTGCCACTGTCATCAACAGCGAATCCACCGATTTCAACTCCATGCTTGTTCTGGATCGACTTGACGTAGGGAGCTTCACCAACGACCTTGACAAGCTTCTCGCCGGCGTATCGGTCTTGGTAAATCTGGCGAATGTCTCGAGAAGTCATCTCCTTGGACAGGGGGATGTTGATGGTCAATTGGATACCGCGGAACCAGGAAGCGCTGTCACCGGATTAGTATATGATGGCCAAAAGAAAAAAAGGGACAGGTCTAACACGTGAGGAATGAATGCCGTCGGGGCCCCAAGGTGGTGGCTAATTTCTCGCTCGTGGATGTGTCCCGTAAGAGAGTCTGCTCAAGGTCAGCTTCCAACATCCTTATAAGCATAATTTCTTTTGAACTAACAAGGCAGAAGGTTATCCTTGAGAAGAGTCTCGTCGTTCTTGGGGCTCTTCTTCGTTCCAGCTCCTGAGAACTTGAATCAGTTAGCTTTGAGCGCGGGTGTCGGCATTGGGGAAGGGGGACATACTCCCGAAACACCAAAAACCGTAGGAACGCCTCCCAAATACGGCACAAGAGGAGCAATACCGAGTTGAGAGCCCGTTGAATAGCAGCCCGGGCAGCTGATGCGCGTGGACTGAGCAATCTTGCTGCGCGTCACAAGCTCAGGGCATGAGTAGGTCCATTTCCCCGTCGAATCAAACCGGTAGTCGGCCGAAAGGTCAATGATGAGACTCGAGCTTTGACTCAATGCTTCGACAAAGGGCTGGCAGGTCTTGTTGGGCAAGGCCATGACTATTTTTGGGTGTCAGTAGAACTGTCAAGTATCTAGCGAGGGAGCGAGCCTACCCCAGCAGTCGACCTGGCCATCCTTGTCCAAACGAGCAACATCCTCGGGAGATAGGCTCTCGTAGATAATCTTGCGCTTAGTATAGCCCTTGAGCTCCTGTCCAACAAGCTCTCGAGAAGACACATGGCGAAGGTCCATGTTAGGGTGGTCGTTGAGAAGGTCAATCAAGGCCTGGCCGGTGTAACCGCGGGCGCCAATGAGGGCAATCCGCGACGGTACCTCGTTGGAAGCATTTTTCTTGCCTAGAGGGGGGTTCGGGTTCGTGTTGAGAGCATTAGCAAGACGTCCGGTGGTGGAAACAGCGCGGCCGTGGACAATATTGGGCGTTAGTCCGCCGACGGAGGCCCTGGGCCTCGAGGTGACGGCGAGGGCAGCAGCGCGTGGGGCAACTCGGCGAGCGCCGATGCGCACGACCCCGCAAGTAGCAGACAGCATGATTCCAAGATGAAGCAGCCCAATTGACCGGAAATTGGGAGGGCAAGTGGTGTGCTGCGGGTGTCGTTGGAGTGAGGTTAATATCTGAGATGAGATGCGCACCACGAAATCCTTGACTGACGTTTAGTGTGGGCTGCGGTGGGTCCCGTGGACTTCCTTCGGGCCAGGGGCTTTTGGCCGAAGTCGGGCGGCTCAGGTCTGCAAGTGGCCGTTGATGGAACGTGGACTTGGACCTCGGGCAAGCAATGTGTTGTGTGATTGTAGTCAAAGAAAAATTGAAAAACTCATTGAGCTCTGACGATGCTCCAAGTATACGTACAATTGCTGACTCACACTCTATCCACCTACTACTACAATTTGGCAGGCGTGGCGCTGTTGACACCCATGCCCCATGACGCAGCATCAAGACCCTCTTCGCCCACCCATCGTCCACCGCGAGCATCACCCACGCTGGTGTTGCCCCAAGGCACTCCTCGCATTTCTTGGAGCAACATTTCCTCCGCTTTTCTTCAGAAATTATGCATGGCTCGGATGTCCTCCCCTCTTCTCGTTCGCCTCTTATGCGCAGCCTCCGCCCAAGCCTCGGCTTTGCGTGACAAACCTCGCAGATACCGCTAGACCTGCTAGATGGCTTACTCGGCCAGTTTGTCCCCCCTCGAACGACCTTGCGGTATAGGCGGCGTCTGCGGCATTTGCTAGACCCGGTACTCTCGGCCATCTTTTTCTCGCTGCAGCTCCCGCATAGGATACGCAATTCGAGGGCTCTAGGTGTACCTTGCATCCTTGTACGGGGCTCCTTGGGTTGGTTGTGCCTTGGCGAGAGCTCCTTCGGCTGTTGCCCTACTATGGCCAAGTCAAGGCTCTCGAGGATGCCACCGCCATCACGAGACTTGACCACGTCATGGGCCTCATGTCGGCACAACTTCCAGAATAAGCCCCCTTTCTTCTTGTTTCGTGGACTAGCAGCAACAGTCTTGTCGTAGGTATTGTCATACCGCGTCGCGCTTATCCAGTGCGGCTCGCTCTGTCGCCACGTGGCCCTCATGCCGTATATAGCCGTTCAAGAATTCGTCATTGTAGAGTCCGTCAGCCGACGTGCGGTCTTCTGGAAGCCAGCACAAGACTTTGCGCACAAAGGTCAGGAATAATTGCTTTTCTTTACCCTCTAGTTTCGTCTCACGGCTCTCGAGAGACTGATCTGGGATGGGGGTCGAGGCAATCCAGTTGCCTAGGTAAAGTCATTAGCATGCAGAGGTATGGCCGCACGTCTCCAGTGCGCGGAGCGACACTCACCGTCCGAATCCCAATACTTGCGGGACTTTTCATGCATCTCCAAGAACTTCCTGGGTGGCGGACCCAAGAGCGACACCATCTCGGCGAGGTGGAGTTGGTCGTCCAGTCGGTCAGCGCTTATAGCGCGGAAGAGACGACCACCTTCGAAGAGATCCCAGACCTGCGGTGCTTTAGTCATTTCTCTAGGTGTTTCCATCAGGACAGAGCATCGACGTACCATGACTCCGAGAGACCACATGTCGATTTTGGAATCCCAGTCAGCTCCCATGATAATCTCTGGTGCTCGGTAAACTCCTGGCATGACGTCCCCAGAGTGCTTCTCACCCGGCTCTCCTAGACGAGCAGCACCGCAATCGGTGATGACTGGAGCACCATGTGTAATCGGCAGCTGGTATGAGAGGTATATCGAGCGACCTGACAATACCTTGCGAGGTGACGGGGTCGCTAGTTCGAGCTCCTCGATCTGATCAAACACACCCGAATCCCGGGGACCGAGGCCGGCAAGAATGTTATTAGGGGAGAGATCTAAATAGTGCGGCGTTAGAAAAGATGATCTTTAGCTGTTGACGTTGGGTTGGACGCCGAGATATACCGGTATGAACCACGCCGACTTGGTGAAGAAAGTCCAGACCCATGATAATACAGAGCAAGGTTTGTCGCAGGACATTCGAGTCGAGAGCATTTCCCGGGAAAAGTTTTCGGAACTCAGTCAGGGGCCGTCCCAGTGGAGCAAATAGGAGGCATTGGTTGTTGCCATTAGGCCCCTCGATCTCAAAGTTCTTCAGGACGATGCGCAGCAGCTCTTTGCCGGGATGATGCGGCGCATCGATGGACTTGATGTGGTCAGAAATGGCCACCTCCTGCCTGGCGTCTTTCTCACCAGTCTCGCCGGTGGCGCAGATCTTTATGGTCAATGTTGTATCTTGTCTAGAGTCGTGGGTGTGTTAGATGGATGGACAAATTCCGTATAGTTTGCGTACTTGTACGTACTTGAGGTCGCGACAAGCCCAGACAGTCGACCCTCCACCAAAGCCAAGTTTGCCGGTGATCTGGTACCTGTCTTGCAGGACTTGGCCGATGAGGACAGGATAGTACCGTTCGGCCTTGTAATTCGGGAGCTCTTCCTCTTCTATCGGCTCGTCTGCGGGAACGGTCTCAAAACCGAAAGACGGGAAAACCTTTGGCTGGGCTAATATTGTCCGCACGAAATGCCGGTTGAATCGATGAAGTGCTTGAGGAGCAAGAATTGGTCGACCGCGGTGTATCGAAGTTAGAGCGTGCTTTTGAGCGGCAATAAGTTGCCGACATAGGCCAGCGGTACAGTTCATAGTAGTGATGAGTACTGGGCTACATTGGTTGTTCCAAGCAAACATCACGGTCTGGTGGATAATATTTGCGGTGGCCTTGCATACTGAAGGCTCAAAACGGCCAGGTGTAAGAGGCCAGGCAGCACTACGCCCTTGCAAGTTGCCAACAGTGCCCTGGCATGGGTAATACAGCGCAGTAGCGTGCAGCGAAGCGCGCGGCCAACGCGGCACGGGGGGACATGGAACCAAATTTTTGTCCCCTTCACCAACGTCTGGTAAGAATAGTGAAGTACGTGCTCATGAGCAGACAGTATGTACGTCTCTTGCTTAGACCAGGGATCTTGTAGTCTCTCCCTTCATGCGTACTGCAAGTTGTGAGTTTCCGTGCTGGCTGGTTGCAACCACCAATGCCACCACAACGTTGTAGGCCAAGGCCTCCAATCCCTGTCAAGTCTGGTATATTTCCTGCTTAGCCCCTCCCTACACGAAATGCAACATCAAGTGTAGAAGCAGAGGCTGTCAATGCTTTTTTCTCAATTTGATTTAATGCAGGGCTTTCATCTACCACGAATCTGCTATCTGATGATGGTACCTGTCACAAGGAAGCCACCACTCCGGCCTAACCAGTGCCTTGGTCTACTTGTTCCTCAACGCAGATCCATCTCAGTCCCCCAATCAGCTCACAAGATGAACAAAGCCATCGAGGAGGAATTGCTCACAGGTGGCAGACTGGAATCTTTTCACCACACCCAGCCGGGTCAAGTGTTGGATGGCAGATTCAAGATAATCTCCAAGCTGGGATACGGCACCAGCTCAACAGTATGGCTAGCTGAAAACTCCTGAAGTTGTAAGCTTCATGTCTCCCCTCCTCTTCTTATTCATCCATGTAACGCCGTCCTCTAGCAAGAGATGGTGCAAGTCATCTATACCTCGCTACGTTAGCATCAAGATCGCGGCCCTTGATTCAGATGCATCTAGAGAAGCAGCTCATTCAAAGCATATTGCCGAGGCCGATCCATCACATGAGGGTCTATCCTTTATCCGCCTACCTCTCGAGGCCTTCCAGCTACACGCACCGCAAGGAAGTTATTTCTGCCTCGTTTTTGAGCCAATGCGAGAGACCCTATTTGACCTTCAACGCCGACTCCCCGGGAACAGGATACCATTGCAGCTATTCAAGCTCTACGTCTTTTGTCTCCTTGAAGCTTTAGATTACTTGCACTCTGCGTGCCATCTTATCCATACTGGTATGCCTTCACAGGGTAACATTTGCATATTAAATTAACTTTAGCGTCTAAGATATCGAGGACGATAATATCATGATCACATTTGAGCACGATGCGGTATTAAAAAACTTTGCCACGCGCCAAAAAGACAGCCTTCAGCCTAGACGCACTCGTCCTGGGGATGGCCGTGCCATCTACCTCTCTCAAAGCGATTTTGGCACTTTACAAGGCCGCAGACTGCTTCCTAGGCTGGCTGACTTCAACCTCTGCTTCCATGGAGTAGAAAACCAGGGACATCTCTCTGCGATACAAGCTCACCGCTACCGCGCGCCAGAAGTGCTACTTGGGTGTCCTTGGTCCTACAGTGTTGACATCTGGAACCTCGGACTGCTTGTGAGGAATAAGCCCCCCATCTCTTTTTGCTCATGCATACTAATACCACGCAGATGTGGAACCTCCTGGAAGATATGAGCCTGTCGAGCGACCTGCCGGGGATGACGGGGAATATGACGCACACGTTCACCTGGCCCAGATGGTTTCTCTGCTTGGCGACCCGCCCAAGCTTGTGATCGAGAGAGAACGACTCTTGCGGCAAAACAGGCTCAAGAAGTCGATTCTCGACGCACGAGGCAAGGAATGTATGAACATGAATGAGTTTTGGGGCGGTCCGTTCTTCGACGACGACGGTTCGTTAAACCCCCTTATTTTCGTTGGCAAAAAGAGGCATAACAGACTAATATCTTACATTGCACTAGATTCTATCATGCGCAAGGATCTCATCCGTAGAGAAATAACGCTAGCAGATACAGTGAAGCATCTACAAGACGATGATAAAGAGCAGTTTCTCGATTTCGCGTCGGGCATGCTCGAATGGTTGCCGGAGAAGCGAAGGACGGCTAAGCAACTGATGCAGCATCAATTCCTCGAATCTTTAAGGAAGGACCGAGAGCGGTATTTATGAGACGATGAATGTTATCGGACCAGATCTCAAGTACCAATATCGCCACGATGGTTTTGTATCTAACCAAGTAAATACTATTTGAGTGGTGCCTACGCGCATGCTGCAACATCTCTCGTAGCCGTAGACCTCGATGGCACTAGCACAATCCTTAGTATTAAAGAACGCAACTGCTTCCGACTAAATAGAATGAGATTAATCCTCCGTTCCCTAGGCAGCGTCAGACTGGGTTCGCCCGAGCCTGGGCCTCAATTCTCCTGGATGTCGAGCCATGGAGACGAGAGGCGTGGGATTTAAATTTCATAATATTGTCCAATACAACCCCTCAGCCTGATACTCTGGACGAGGGCATGGTATAAGCGAGCCATCTGCTCGCTCCGAATGCTGCTCGAGGTGGTTCTGAAGCAGCGCCCTACGGGCGTAACGTTTTCCGCAGAAGATACAAGGGCCCGTTTTGCCAGATGGTACTGGAGGTTGCTGTTGTGGGGTGTGGTCAGGAACGGCGGGAACGAGTGGACGTTGGTCGTTGCTAACAATGTGGTTGGGGGGCGGCTTGTGTCTGGTGGTTTCGCTAGAGCGCGCAGGCCATTGGAAGATTGCGGCCGCGGTCATGATGAGCGCTCGGGAAGACCGGTTTTCCAAGCAGAAGTGGCTGGGGGCTCAGGTGATTTGGGAAGTAAAGGTTTCAACCCGCTTGACGACCGTGGTGGCAGCGACAGCTGGGAGATTTCGTGCGAAAATGGGGTTGGCATTCTTGGGATTTGTGTGTCTGCTTGTTGCTCTGGACAGGCTCGCATACGTATGCCTAGGCAACCCATAGCCTCGACTGTAGCCATACTGCGACATCTTCTCTGCGAGGCCCAGCGCAATCCCCAACCGTACGGAGTGGCTGTCAAAGACTGCAGCCGTCGCAGGATCGTTCGACTTCTTGCCTAGCGCATTGACGGCCCCCCGGGACACGGGCCGATGCAGCCACTCCCGCTTCCATCGAATTTTGATGGATGGCTTGTTAAGCTTGGTGGGGAAAATAGGGTCAGCTCTCTCTTGGTAGCCGTTGTTATCAATAGCCCCTTCCGACAGTGCCTTGGCGAGTATGTGAGACACATGACAGAGCATAGGAATATCCTCTTCGACGAAGGTATGTCATGTCGGGACGATCTGCTTGTTCTCGCCTTTATGCCAGCGAAGGAGTATTTGCGTGGCCAAGCGATCCCAACCGCCATTGCCTTCGGGGTCATGGAGAATCCAGAAATCAATATCTTCCCAGCAGAGAACCTTCAGCGTCGGGTTGTTCGTCCGCTCGTCCGCTAGTCCACAGATCCAGCACTCCTTAACCCGACGCGGTATACATTCGTTCGAGTCATGCTCTACATCGGTATACGCGTCCGATTCCTCATCCAGCTTTTCGACAAGCTCCTTCAGATTCTTAGGCTTGGCATAGACCAGCTCATGCTTTCGGCAACCAGAAAACATGCAATTATGGCGAATAGTGGCATCGTCGAGTCGATCGAGCCCGATGTGGAAATGTGAAGTATCTCGGTCCCAGAGAAAGTAGATGTGGCAGATGAAGTCGGCCCATAGGAGGCTTGACTTTGGGTTCTCTGCGCAGCCCCCATTCTCGCGTGATGAAACGTCGGCCGTATTCGCGAAGATAATCTCTAATAAATTTGTCCCATGGCTTTCCAGTGTCCTTTTCGTATAGACCACCAAGCTTCCTTGTGTATACGTGAATCGAGCTTTCGGCATTAATCGTCTGCCTCTTCTTCCGAAGTTCAGAGTCAGCATAAGGCACCAGATGAATGATTCGCCGAGGCGCTTATTGTCGAACGTGAGAGTCTTGATCAAGACCTTGCACTCCTGTGGTCGGCGAAGCCGGTGACAGAAGGCCTTCCATCGTAATTGGAGACGGTAGAGGTCTACTTTGTGGCTGTCTGAATGGTTGGGTGGCAAAGGACGCCGGCGATTGCCCCGTTCCCAGCTGTTCTGAAGTTCTTGTGGGCACCATGGTTCTGGCTCGGGAGTCTCCTCTTGTCGAAGTCGTTGTTGGTAATGTTCGATTCGATGCCTCGAGATCCATGGCACCAGAGTGGGCAGTGCAGAAACAGTATAGTATCAAATTCACACGGTGTCTTTCATCTAGGTGAAAATATGCATCGACTGGATCGAGCGACATCATTTGAACAAGAACTGACAGGAATACGGCTAGGCTTAAATGTCCTCGAACCTCCACATGGCTACCATTTCTACTTTATCCAGGTTCCTGGTTATCGTCCACCGTGAGATGGATAACTTCGCTGTGCCCTATTAAAATATCCAGGACGCTGGCATGCCCTTTATGTCAAGAGCATGTATGGTAGGCTGTGCGAGATATACGAAGCCAGAGTGTAGGTATATGCCTCAGATGTTCCACGTCCCTAAAAAGAAGGCAAATCTGTGTCCTAAAAGGGCACTTCAAACGCCAACACATGCATTGTGTAATTTCCGAATCACTACATTGCAGCTGTTCATTGCCCATGACGTAAGGACGATGCACTGCGGCAAGCGCGATTCAAAGCAGACTGCCGTGCGCGCACAGCTCCTTCTCCCTTGGCAATCTGGCCCCGTGTCGCGATTAAATCACATGATGCGGGAGTTGGCATTTGCAATTGGCTGTCCTGTCCGCGCCGAAACAGAGGCTGCCTAACCCGACGACATCAGGTTTGCAGAGTAGACACTTTGGCCCTTTCCTGAGAAGTCGGGACCTTTCGACCCTGGGACCTTTGGCCAGGTACGGGAAGCGGCCCGTTGAGAGCGTTTGACTGCGCCAACTACTTCCACCCTGACGGCTTCGACTGAAAAGTTCTAACAACCAGTTGACGTCCAAAAAAGCTGCCGCGGCCCTGAAACCCAACACGACTGACCGGTCGCCGCCCTGAAAACTTGTGCCTCTCAAGGTGGGCCGCGGAAATCCTGAATCCCACTCCACACAAGGCTAATAGGGGCTAACATATAGTAGACTTGAGCAAGAAGGGTAAAGGCCACAGCAAACGCCCCAAGCTAGCCAGCCCTGTTTGTCCTGATGTATGGGAAAATCGAAGAAGAAAAAGAAGAAAGCCACTACGGCCACCGAGAGAGCAGGCTACGCCACAGTCGAGCTGGAACCGGGACCCGCCTCCGGGATGAGACTGGGCTTGCGACCTGCGGCCCGGAGTCCCTGGCCGCCTGCCATTTGGCCCATTTACCAGTTGGTACGGGTTGACAAACAGGCAAAGCAATGGAAATACACTGGGGCTTTTCGCCATGACGTGAGGCTGGTCGACTGCTCCTGCACCGAAACTTCGATAACTGTACCCTGCCGCCAATAAGAAGGAACCAAATGCAACCAGTTTCTTACTTACGCTAGGGCGTCTAACCCTGGGGGTACCACGACGATGCCGCCCCGTGACGGTTGATGACTGATTGACTCAACCCACTGCAGCCTACAACAGCACCGACGCCTGTTGGTCTCAATCCGTGTTGGCAGCTTGAAGGAGGTTTTCGGGGATGGGCAAACACATGAGCCCCCGGGTTATTCTCTTGCGGTTCGCAAATTCATGGACAATGTCTGGCTGAGCCTGCTGCCGCGTCCACCGACGCCCTGTGTGCACCAAGTGTTCTTGCTGATAGACTCCGCCATCTAACCCACCCGTGCCTGATGGATGATACTCGCGAAATCAAACTTGGCCCCATCCAAAGAGATGCCTACTTGGGGGCCTACCGAGTCCAAGTCTCTTTACAAGGCTGGTGGTGCGTTTTGGCCAGTTGAGTCAGGCACCACGAACCAATGATGACAGGTTATGGCCTTCTCAACGATGGCATGGCCGTCCTGTACATCGGGGCCTGGCAGCCTTGATGAAGCCCTTTCTTGGTCAAATGCTCACCAGACAAACACACTGCCACCAAAGCGACGTGAATTGCGGAAACCGTACAACGGGGCCTGTTCTAGAGCTCGGTACCGCCTTGTTTCCTTGATGCCTTGGGCTATATAAACCGGCATTGACGCTGTCTCGACTTGACTTTTGGACATGCTCACTCCAATCTCATTCAGCTTAAGCCTCAGTCCAAGAACTAGGAAACCAGGCACTTTTCCCGGCAACAAGACAAGCCTCTGACTCACCCACGCATCTGCAAACACAAGCAAAAATGTGCTGCGGCATGAAGAACAACGCCACCGAGCTCGTCAACTACTCCAAGGCCACGGTTTGGCAGTGTGTACGTATAATTGTCTCAAACATTAAATCGAGATGACGACAAACTAACTCTGAGAACAGTGCGGCTGCAGCAATGGCTGGTGGTCTGTCGACTTGGACTACTTCTGCCCTCACTGCCTGGTACCCCGATGCACCAACTGCCAGTATGCCGCTCAAGGATAGCGGCATTTGGCCATGGCTGATGGTGGAAAACGACCAACAAAACCGGACGACAATGGACTGACGACGTGTCTGCGGAACAACTACATTTGTCAAGATGAGGGCTCAACTGTTGTCATGTTGGGTCCTTGTGTATAATACGGAACGACGCGATGGGATATGGATTATGGACAATGGACTACGGACTGGACTATGGATTATGGATTACGGGACATGCGCATTTACGGACAGGGAAAACACCACTGTAGAATAGACCAAGTCAATAGATAGATAGCCTGATTTCGATTTGATTTTTTATTGTTTTCTTTGACAAAAAAAAAAAAAAGGCGCACCCTTGTCTTCCTCGCTCAGTGTTGTTGATCAATTGACCTGAAAATGACATGGGCTGGAGCCTAAACCCGGACCTCAGCAATTGAGTCAATCGGTTGGCCAATCCCCACACCCCGCTGAGCCAACCGCCAAGGCACACAGGAAGGCACACATGACCAAGTCAAAACAGGCCAGGTGAAAATAAAAATAAATTTTTTTAAAAAGAGAGATAGTATATACAAGCTAAAAGATGACAAACGGGGCGTGGTGGAACGCAATTGCTACGTGATTGTAAATGTTCGTTTGGGGAGTGAGTCTGTAGACCTGACTGTCAACCCGCACGTGCGTGATTTGAGCGACAGGCAACCACATTCGTTTTGGCGACGCAGGGTTTCCCGCCTCGTCTTGGCACCAGCTCGAGGAGCGTTTCGAAAAGCGCAACGCACCGGGGCCAGCTGTGTGCTGGGTGGCGGCACAAACGTTTTGCCCCGTGAGGCACGTTTGTGTTTGCCTTCTCGCCTCCGGGCTGGCTCCGGTGTGTGCGGATGCACCGATCGGTAAGGGGGGTTCGATCGAGGCTCGCAGCGTCGCAGGCATTGTCGCCCCGAAGGAGCTCGTGTTGTACGAGCCCACGTTTTGTGGTTTCTTTATTTTTGTTTCCCTTGCTCTCGTCTCACAAGGCTACCTACCCGCAACCCACAAGGCACGAGGGCGCGAGGCACGAGGCACGAGGCACCAGGTACCCGCGAGGCACGCGCGCATATCATCCAGGCTTGCCCTCGGGGGGAGGGGGGACCGGAGCTACTTGGCCTCTTGGCAGAAGATGAGGGTGTTTCCAAAAGGGTCGAGGACCGTCATCTCCTGGGACCCCTCGGCCGGGCCGTCCTCGAGCCCCGGCCGCATGTAGCGGTAGCGCTTTGCTGTCAGCGCGGCGTGGTACTCGGCAAGGTTGGACGTGGAGATGCGGAGCCTGACGCCCGGGCTGCCGTCGCCGTGGTGCTCGCTCAGGTGTAGCGTGAGAGCGCCGTGGGAGATTTGCCGGTACAGGGGGCCGTTGGCGTCGTGCCGGTGCTCCCAGTCGGTTGTGAAGCCCAGGTATTCGAGGTAGAACTCGTCGGCTTTGGGGACGTCGAAGATGCGGAGGATGGGGGTGACGGCGTGGAATTCTGGGGCCATGGCGGGGCGGTTCGTGTTTGCGGGGGAGGGGTGTTGGGAAGCTGAGGTGATTGACGGATGCTGGTTGATGGTGGTGGTGGTGGTGGTGATGTTTGGTGAGGAAGAAGGTGGTGAGAGTTCGGTGTTGGTGGAGGCGGCGCGGGGAGTGTTAACTTACAAGCTGATGGATGAGGTGAGAGGTTTGGCGCCGAGCTCCGTGGTTGGGCGGTCGTCGCGTAGGCAGCAGCTTGCGAGCGTGCGCAGTAAACGAGCGAAATCTGCCTTGTGGTTTGGCGAGTGCAAAAGTAAACGGCTTGGATGTTGAGCTGTTGCTGATTCTTCTGGTGCCGCTTGTATTCGCCATCGTTGGCACTGGGGATGCCCGATAAACTCGCCCAAAACTCACCCATCCGTGATTCCTAAATATCCACCCAGGCCTCCCCTGCCGGGGATGCCCAGGCAGTCCCTGGCGATGCCACCACGGATAAAGCACTGGTCCTTTGCTCTCTGCGACTCGCCCGTCTGCTTTTCATTCCAAGCGGTCTGGCGGCCAAAGTACAATCTGTAAAAGGTCCTGTCCCAGTCAAACCTTTCGCTAATCTTGTGCCAGAAGGCGGGCGAGAGCTCGCCCCCCACGGGGAGTTTCTGCGGAATCCCGTACACCGTCTTGGCCGAGTATGCCCTGGCCCATTTCGGGCCCTTGTCGTACTCCCAGTAGCGATCAACCATGTTCGACGAGTACGTGACAATGTCGAGGATTCCAAACGTTTCCGGGTCGACGTAAAACACGTTAAAGGCCGGCGCGCCGATGACGGGGGTGATGGAAGGCGCAATATACGATGTGACGAGGGCGTCCTCGGCCGTGAGCCGCTCGCCGACGCGCCACCAATGCGGCGACTGCGGGTCGGTAAACCCCCGGTAATGAAGCTGGAACTGGTTGAGGAACGTGTGCCCAAAGAACATGGCGGCAACGGTGGACCCGTACTTGTTCATGATCTGGTTGAGCGAGCGCGAGTAGTGCTGGAGGATGTCGGGGTCCCCCATGGACATGTGGCCGATGATGTAGACGTGCTCCTTGGCCAGGGTGGCCGCGTCGAGCTCGCTGACCAGCCATGCCAGCTGCCCGGCCGGATCGTGGTTGATGGGGTCCTGGTAGACCCAGAGGTTCTTGTAGTTGTAGAGGTTGGTGTTGAGCGAGATGATGCGCAGGTTCCGGTGCGGCACCTTTGTGGAATAGAAGCCGCCGTCTTTTACCCTGCGTGCGTCCTTGTCGCCGATCCAGCGAGACCAAAGGGATGAGAGCGTGTCGTAGAGCCACTGCGTGCTTACCTTGCTGGTAACTTGTTCCGCCTGGAACAGGTTGGCGGGCGAGCTCTCGTCATTGCCAACAGCTGGATAGATGTAATCGTACAGCTCACTCATGTTGCTATAGGCCTTTTCGACTACGTGTACGTTAGCACAACTGGTGTTCCAACAAGAAGAGGCGGCGCGCGCAAGACTGACTCTGTCCTATGTTGAGCTCTGCCGTCGAATTCCAGACTTGGCGTGACAAGATGCCGCCGGTGAAGATGGCAAAGTCGGCATCGCCAGCAAACTTCTTCATGGCTCGGTAAAAGCTCTGCTGGAGGCGATGGGGAGTGTCGCAGGCGCCATGGTGACCATATGGCCCTCCGATATCTAACTCGGGATCTATCATGATATCCAAATGCGCCTTGTGCCTTGGTTGAAATATGATGTCTCTTTCTTTCTCCGTGAAGGCCCTGCCAGTCAAACGGGTTGTCAGGGAAAGCCGCCGGGAAAGCAACGACAACGAAGGAGGAATGCAACCATACCTGCAGCAGATCAATGGATAGGGGCACTTGTCTGTTTGCGACTGGGTGCCTGCAAAGTAATGGGGGTCGAGATGGAGGTCGGAGAAGTGGACGAATTTGAAGGGCATTTGACCGCTGGGCTTGGGCCGAGGAGGCGGCGTCTCGTTTCTCGTGTAGTTCATGGGAACGTTATACCGAAGCTTGACGGCCGGGCAAGTCCCAAGCCAGGTATTGCAAAACAGCTGCGCACCTTCAGATTCGCCTACCGGGTTCATGTTTCTGAGAATATGGGCCATGGCTTGTCCATAGCGTTCAACCGACTCCAAGCACAATTCTTCCACTTTCCACTGTGTACCCCCATGTTCAGCATGTGCAGCAGCGGAAATGGGGGGCGGGCGGCACTTACATCGACCTGCGCCCTTTTGATCATGCCGCACATCTCCTTTCCCCTGGCGATGAAGGCCTCGGTGTTTGTCGCAAAGCCTTGCATATACTTGAGAAATCGCTAAGGGGGAGGGCAGATGTCAGCTTTGGAGCGTTGTAAATCGTCGCGGTGGGGATGAAGAAGAAGATGATGATGATGAAAAGGGGAAGAAGAAAAAGAAGGAAAGAAAAAAAAGAAGAAGAATTAATACGTACCAGGCACTCGTTGCACTTCACGCCTACCGCCCAGGACCCCGACTTTGACATTTGTCTGACGGTCCAAGTAAAGATGTCGAGGTTTTTCTGGAACTCTTCCTGGATCTTGTAGAGGTTGGGGGACTTTTTGGGTCCCGTACCGGCCGAGACAACGCCCAACAGGACGGACAAGATAAGTAGTAGCCGCATTGTGTCTCGTACAGTGATGATGATGGACGAATATACGAGTATACTCGAATATGCCCTCAAGACTTGCCGGACGCATGCAAATTATATACTCTTTAAACATGTCATCTTTGAAGAAGCCAAGGCGTGTAGACAAAAGTGTAAAGGTTAGTTCAAAGTTTAAGTTGTATTCTGCAGGCATACTGCCTTCACCTAGCTCTTTACGGCCACGCTTGCTAGCTGGCGCTAGGCTACATATAAATAGTCGACATTTCATATTGATGTATCGGGAAGTCACGACCCCCTAAACCATATGTGGCAGGGTATAGTAGCCTACTACAATTTACCTATTTACTGTAAAATATAGTATAATATATTAAAATATACTTGGTAGGTAAATATATTCTGCCACAAATAGTCGAGTATTTCGATGTCAATTCGTTTAAACATCATCGGCCCAGCCAAGCCAGGCCACCAAGCAGACGACAAACTTGCCACAAGCTCCGTGCCTATGCCGGCACATGGACAGCCGTCGGATGCTAAACTGTTCTAAACACAAACTCTCCCACTTGGTGGTAAAATGGTCTACTGTACCAATACTCGGCTCTGAAAAAAAGTGTCGCTGTACTACACCAAGATTATTCTGTTAGTCGCAGAGCTAGAAAAGACTATTTGACAATCTAGGTGCACCCACCTCCCATGCACGTATGCGCATCTCACGGACACGTGTTGACGTTCCTGTAATATCTTGGAACCAGCAGCACGTCCTCGCGGATCGTTTCCGCTCCAAACCGAACAGGCGGGGTCGCCACAGCCCAATCCGAACCTCGGCCCAAAACACCAAGAGCTTCGACCAACACCAAACCACACCATCCTGCATTGACTCCCAAGAAAAATAAATAAAAATAAAATTCAATCCCTCCTCTGCACCCACTGTCCACACACACGACCCCCCCAAAAAAAACTTGTCCCGTTGCACCCGCGGGCGCCTCCCAAACCATGGTAGGCCTCGCAGAACACCAGTCCGTCCTCCCCAACCTCCGCGACATCGGCAACATCCCCATCCCGCCGCCGGGCAGCACATCCTCGCCCTCGCCCTCGCCCTCGCCGCCGAACCCCCGAACCACACGGCCAGGCCTGCTCTACCGCTCCGCCGCACCGACCGCCGGCGCCGTCCCGGCCCTGCAGACCCTCCGCGTCACGCACGTCTTCGACCTCCGGTCCGACGTCGAGGTGTCGCGCGCGGGGGGGCCCTCGGCGGCCGACGCCTGCTCGCAGTCGCCCCCGGCCCTGTCGCGCGTCCACGTCCCCGTCTTCCGGCGCGTCGACTACACCCCCGAGGCCATCGCCCTGCGGTACCAGGACTACGCCGCCGCCGACACCACGGCCGGCTTCGTCTCGGCGTACCGCGGCATCCTGAGCGCCGGCGGCGAGCGCGCCTTCGCCCCGATCCTGCGGCACCTCGCGCGCGACGAGCCCACGCCGTGCCTGGTGCACTGCACCGCCGGCAAGGACCGCACCGGCCTGGTCTGCGCCATTGTGCTGTCGCTGTGCGGCGTCGACGACGACACCATTGCCTGGGAGTACGGCCTGACCGAGGAGGGGCTGGCGCCGCTCAAGAAGGGCATCATGCAGCGCCTGATGAGTGCCGAGGGGGTCACGGTCGACGAGGCCGGCGCCTGGAGGATGCTGAGTTCCCGGTGAGTTCTTCTTCTTCTTCTTCTTCTTCCTCCTCCCTGTACTGGTACAGGGCTGACTTGGTGTACTAGGCCCGAGAGCATGCTTGCTACGCTCAAGGTCATGAGGGAGGAGTACGGCTCGGTGGAGGAATACGTCCTCAACGAGTGCCGCGTGTCGCCCGACGAGATTGAGCGGCTGCGGCGGAATTTCATCGTCGAGCCGCAGAACGGTGGTGTCCTGGACGCCGAGCGTGCGGTATTATGAACGTCATGACAACATTTGCCACGCCATGCATTAGATGATTTAGACGAGAGCCTGTGTTGCTGGAATTTTTGGTATTGGTCTTGGTCTGCTGCAACGCAGCACTGTACATGGTATTATACAAGCAAGCCCGCGGCTTGATTCATGCCACCCCATCGCTGTAATGTAAACCAAAGAAACGAAAATATGTATAATGGTACACGTGACGCCTGCCCATGGCCTCCTCAAGGAACCGACGTGGGAATCTTGACCACGCCGCGTTTGCGGTCGTCAAACGGCGCCCCATACCTCCATCCTGTGCCCTTACGTGATCGCCCATCCCTGCCGACGTCATCCACGGCAATCTCCTTGAAGCGGAACTCGTACCGGTCCGTCTTGACGCGCCTAGTCGTCTGCTCCTCTTTGGCCTTTTCCTGTGCCAGCTTCTTGGCCACGCCATCCTCCTCCTTTTGCACGGCAGCCTCAAACTTCTTCTTGCTGTCCTCCCTGCTCATGCCCTTGAGAATATCGCGCTCCATCTTGATGAGCTGCGGCTGCGGAGACCGCGTGTCCGCCGAGAGCATCGTCTCGTGGAAAGCCTTGGCGGCGTCTTCACGCGTAAATTGCCTCGACTCGGACACGGGCACGAATAATTGCTGCATGGTCAACTTGTGCACGTGGACCTCGTTGACTGGCTCGTGCGGTTCGTTCTTTTCGCCCTCGCGATACGACGTCTTGGGCAGCATGCTCATGACTGCTTTTGCGTACGGCGTAGCTAGTTTATTGCCCTTTTGCTTTCTGTTAGTCGCCACTCGCCAAGAAAATTTGTTTCGCAACACAAAGGGTAAAAAAAAAGCATCATATCAGGCAAAACTAAATGTCTAACCACAGGTGGTGTCTTCAAGACTAATCGAAAATTTTTATAGTTGTCTCATCATGTGAAGTGCATTTCCCTCCCCAAAAAAAATCATTGGAGAGCACTATTGAGGAAGGGGGAGGATATTGTCATGTACTCACGTCTTTCACCCATTGCCTCTCCACCTCCTTGAGCCTCACCACAGCCGCAACCCGTCTCACATCCACACCCATCTCGGCCGAAACAGCTTTGAGGGATTCTCCTCGCTGGGTAATTTTCTGCCATATCAGCTCCCTCGTCTGCTCGTCCAGAACCGGCTGGCTGCGGAACAATGGATTCTGTGGGAAAGGCTGGTCTTGGAACGGCCCCAAGTATCGGGGGCCCTTGCCACCCCCGGCCAGCTCTTGGCCGTCTCTTGATTTCAGCCATTGGTACATTTGCTGCCGAGCCCGGCTCATCTTTTCGCGATAATGTGTCGAGGAGAATGTTCGCGCAAATGGGCCTGCTGACCTGGCTTGTTGGGGCAACGCCAGGTCGGCTGCCAGCAAGGCAGAGGTGCCATTTATCCTCGGCGGCATCTTTGTGATGGAATGCTTTCTCAGCTGGGGAGAAGCCCAGTGAATAGCCGCATCCAAGTCAATTGGGCTGGCGGCTTGCGTGTCGTGCGGATGTGGATGTGAATCCAAAGTGCAGCTCAAGGACTAAAGCTCTGCGGGTGTAGATTTTTCCAAGAGATCGGCTCCACTATTTTCCGGTGCCGGCCATTCTTGATCCAAGCACCTCGGCCAACCTCTTCGTGAGGAGCCCTTGCAAATACTACCAACATGGAGACAAAATCATATTCAGACACGAAGATGTATTGGGTATTAATTCATTAAACCTGCGGCGCTCAATAGGCGCTCATAAATGCCCGAATAACAAAGATTTGAGGCTGGCACATCGAATTCCACACATATACTCTGGTTCCGCAGGTGACGCGCAAATGCGCCTGTTCGCATCATAAATGATCCATCATGAAAATACCGTATCCTAGTTTTCCACCTCGTTCATGACTGCCGTAACTGTGATTATAAACCGGCGTTGAAAAAATTATGGCATCATTCATGATGACGCGCAGCGAGCGCCTAAGAAGTCGTGGAGAGAGACGATCGGTTCTTCTTCGATTTGGCCTTGGTTGCCAGAGCTTTCTTTGCCGCCTCCTCCCTTTCTGCATCCTGCACAGCCAACTCTTCCTTCCAATGGCGCCAGGCGTCAAAGTCGATGAGTGCTTGCATGCAACCCCATTCCATCACTTTACGCTCGAGCCACACAAAGTTGACCGGCTATTATTGACAGGTTAGTATTTGGATGGGCACAAAGAAGCGACAAGTGCAGAATGCGGCCTACCTTGGTCAAAAAATCATTGCAACCTGCAGCCAATGCTTCATGTCGGTCACTTTGCAGGGAACTGGCAGTCAATGCCACAATAATCACAGGACTTTTGAAAAGAGAAGGGTTTTGCAGCCGATCCTGATCCTTGATATCCTCTTCCGAGTTGCCCGTCGCATTGTCAGGCGTTGATGTAAAGACACCGATAGTATTTATCCTTTCGAGTCTTCGAATCTCCCTGGTTGCGTCGAGACCATTCATCACTGGCAGTTGAATGTCCATCAATACAAGATGGAACCCCCCCATCCTCCACTTTTTGACGGCGTCTTGTCCGTTCATGGCCGACTGCCATCGTACTTTTAATCTCTTTACAAATGCCTCCAATAGCTTCAGGTTAATGGGGTTATCTTCGACGATGAGAACATTGATGGGAGGGACATTCCCGTTCAGGACAGTGCCGGCCGCGGCAGGATGTTCTGAGCTTTTTTTGCTTCTCTTCGGACGAAGACTCGGTGCCCTTGGGGAAGAAGATCGCGGAGGAGGAGTAGCAATTCTGGCGGGAGTTACTTCGGGACCAGGTGATTTGGTCATTGGGGTTTTCACCATTGCGAGTCCGGACGGATGGTCTGACGAGCTTGAATGAGTTCGGGAATGGGGTAACCGCGGGTCAAAGTTCTGCGTACCGTGGCTACCGGTATTGGAGGCTTGCGGCCCTGGAGCATGACCGGCCATCAACGTTGGCGAAGATGTATGAGTCCTATTTAGTCTAGGCCGGTCTGGGCGGTCTCTGTAGAGGCGTGACCTGCTGGTGGCACCTGGAGATGGAATAGGAGGGATATGGCCGGTTCCAAGAACAGCAATCGAGTGTGGTACTGTACCGTTGGGCGCTGTTGCTGGAACAACATGTGAAGCATGCGGTGATGGTATGGCTACGACGGGTGGGAAATAACCCTCGCCGGCTTCTGAGGGTCGGCCGTCCTCTGTGATGTAGTATGTTGTAGCAGTGCCTGGGGGGATGGGCACGCGAGGAGAGGCTTTCGGGGTTCGTCGGGGAATATCGATGATGAGAGCTTCGTCAATAGTCTGACCGCCAGGGTAGTAGGTATCCAGGGTTCGAGCCATCACTTCCTCCGGGCCAAGGGCCCGTTCTTTTTCTTGGTCTCGCGGATGTACACGGATGACGAGGTCCGGGGAATCAAATGTGCGACCTAATGAATTGGCGTATTTTCGCAAAATCATATCCCGAACATCATCGACCAGGTCATCTTCGTTTATGGTGATGGTCGTAGCAGAGGCGTGTGGCCGCCTGACCCAGATCTTTCTGGTAACCATGATGGTATCTATAGAGTGCCTATGTTCAGTATCTGTGGCGGCCTGCGGTTGGTTGGATCGGAGAAGAGTCTTGATCAGGCTTGTTTGCCGGCTGGCGAAAAGGCTCTGTCGCCGTGAAGGTTGCGGATCACTCGTGAAGGATACCGGACTGGCGGCAGACGACGCAGCAGATGCCGACGCAGCTGCAGGAAAGGACGCGAAGCTCAGCTGGTCGAGCTCACGGCCATGTTGCGGGGGTTGGAGAGGATCAACTTCGAGATCGTCACCAGCATGTGCGGGAGGCACCCTCACTCCTGAGCCTGAGGAGCCAATGTCGAAAAGCCGCAAGTTGTGGCCGTGGTTATGGATCCGTCCAGCACCACCACGCTGCGGCGAGTTGCGGTCGCCGACGGCTAATGTCGAGGAACGAGAGGTTCGAAGGGGCGAAGATGTCGGCGATGGGGTTGACCGCGGCGGGGGCGGCAAATGAACCGCAGTAGCTGGGCTCAATTGTGTTGAAGGATCAGGATGAGGACCAAATCGAGATGCAGCCCAGGCAGAGCCATGGAGGTGGTCGTGGCGGGGCGGGTCCTTGTCGGATGCGTCCATATCATGATGTGCCTGGCCCTGGCCCATGTCGACGGAGCCCATGGGGATGTTCCGGGGGTCCTGGGAGACCTGGGGGGCCAGTTTTGGGACATGCGACAGCGGGTGACCCTCTAATTTCTGCCGTGAGAGGGCTTCCTCGGCGAGGGGTTCAAGCTGCGCTGGCCGTTCCTTCCCTGAAGCCCCCAGGGCACCACCGCTGTTGCCGGCTCCGAAGCGCTGGAAGAACGGGCCTTCAGCGGGGGGTTCACTGTCAAGACCACTGGCTTGATTTGTGCCTCGTTCGTCACCCGCCCAGCCGTCCTGGTCCTTGTCATGATGCTGTCGTCTGTCTCCTTCCGCATCACCGTTTTCGACTTCGGTCCCGGCTGCAGCTCCATGGCCAATCGCTTCGGAGTGTTCATCGCTGGTCTGGCTCGCAGTGCGCTGGGCGTGCGAGGCAAACGATGCCTCACGGCTGGTCTGGCTGGGAACAGACGAAACAGACGCCTCCCCAAGACCGCTTCGAGAAGACGCCAGGGACGACGCAGTCGAATGTCGCCGCCTCGATAGCCGCGCCTTGATGCGGGAAGCAATATCGTGCGCCATCAGCTCGCTCGTGTCTGCCAGCGATGGCTCATCGGTGCGGAGCAGATGGCTGGACGGAGAGGTTGCCGAGGGGCAAAGGGGGAAGAAGACCCGGTGTCGTGCTCAGCCCTTTGTCTCAATCATCAAGCTCATGGTGCTCTGTGTCGATGAAGCAAGTTGGAGAAGTCCCGCATTGCCAGGCGCGCGAGAGGCTTTGAAGAAATAATAAATGCCAAACCAAAAGGTGGCCGCGTGGAAGAGCTGCCCAACGCGAACCCGATAGCTGAATCACAGAACTGATTGGCATAAAAACAATACGCCAACCCGGGGCTGGAGCGGGATTGCCTCCATGTGTGTGGTCCGTCGGCACTCAATTCATGCAATTCGCCCAATGCTACTGTAATTTACGAGATAGACTTTGACAAACCCTCATTAGCTGCTTTTGACAGCCACCATGACTGGGTCCCTGGCCGCATCTGCCGTTTCCGTCAAACAATAGCCGTCGGTGGCATCGCGGACCGTTACAGCCTTGTTCAGCTCGTCTTGAAGTCTGGCCAGGTCGGTCATGATGCAGCATGCGGCTGTCGTGGTGGACACAACCATACGAGGGCTGTGGTCAGCTTCTCCCACGCCCAGGGACCCCTGGTTCTTGTCGGACAATGGCCTCGGCCCTCGACTGATGTCGACGGTTGCTGCTGCTACTATTCTTTTTGCGTTGGACAAACCGTGGGTGGCACAGTGACACCTTCACCATGTGCGTTCGGCGGCACAGCGCGACACAGCCTGTGTTTGTGGCGTAGTTGGATGATGCAGATGATGCAGGCAGCCGTGGCCCGTGAGCCAAGATGCCGCGATGCCTCATGTTGTCGGCACCTTGTTCACGGCTACGATGCTTGATTGCCCCGAGTTGTTCGAGAAACTTTGAAACTTGGCTTGGTTTGTTTGTTCTCCGTAAATCATTTGCTGGACCATCGACATGCAATTGCGGACGACGATGTCGCACAAATATGCCATGGCCACAAATGTTGGCCCGTAATGGGCACGACATCGCCATGGTTCCAGTCTGGCTGTTTGTCGACGATGAATTACCCAACGCCACCCTGCCAAAGGGTACCAGCGAACGCGCGTCAGACCAAGATTGGAGGGCTTCAAGTTGCTGCAAACAAGGCTTTCGTGCCCGTTTTCGTCCAGCAGACGTAGCACGGTTTCCATATACCAGCAATTCTTGTCACACCAAACGAAACGAGTGAGGCACTCGCTCGAACCAGCCGTTTTCATAACCCAACAAGACTTGCAGGATTGTTCACTTCGCATAGTGTGCCATGGCGCGACATAGGTCACACGACATCATGTAACCACGAGGGCGAATCGAGTACTTAAACTGCCCAACTATCGCAGTCACTGCCATCTACTAGCATCATTCAGGCTGGTAGCTCGAAACAACCATGATAGAAAACTGCACGACGCTGTATCCCAACGATATAGTTGGCCGCAAGGTCAGTGAGTACTCGGACCAGCACTCAGTCCCTCTTCCCGAAGACCTTGTCAAGTACCATGAATGGGTGTTGCGCAGTCAAGAACACTCCCACTTCACCATTTCCCTGCTCGAGGCGAGAATGTTGTCGTGGATGGCACGAATGGTGAATGCCAAGAGAGGTACGAACCCACCGGCATCTGTTTATTTCCCTCTTCTTCTTGTTTAGCTTGTTTAGTCCCTCCTTTTACATCGAGTTGCTCACTATAACTTTCCCCTCCAGTCCTTGAGATTGGCACATTTGTAGGTTTCTCCGTCGCCACTTGGGCCAACGCCGTTGGCAAGGACGGCAGCGTCACCGGCCTCGAGAAGTCCCCCGAGTTCGCACAGATGGCCCGAGACCAGCTCAGCAGGTTCGGTTGGAACAACGCCGAAGTCGTCACGGGCGACGCCTTGCACACGTAGGTCGGAGACCCGGTTTCTCGCGCCCGCCCCTTGTCGCCCGATGCGGGATTTCACTGACGCAACATGCCGGCAGTCTGGCCGGGCTTGAACCCCCAGAGCCCTATGATATCATCTTCATCGATGCCCAAAAGTCCGGCTACCCAGCCTATCTGAAGATCATCCTCGACCGGTCCCAGCCCGGGCAGGCCAACAGGCTACTGCGCCCTGGTGGTTTGATCATTGGCGACAACGCCCTTCGTTGCGGCCTGGTTGCGGACGAGTCGGACGACAACCCGGCTACAAAGACGGTCCCTCTCCATACCATCAACTGGGACTGGAATAATATTGCCTTTTTGGACGAGTTCAACAAGATGATGCATGGTCACCCGCGTATTGAGGCCATGCTGCTGCCGGTTTTTGACGGGCTCGGTCTGGGCAGGTTGCTGGACTGAGCTCCCGTAGCGGTGCTGTGATGCTGGCTTGGGCGGGGACAGGAGCAGATTGTCGACGTGTTTAGAAATGAGCTCTAGAATATTCCCTGGCTATAAACGCATTATCACCATTATTTTTACTGACTTTGTTGCTGTGTGAGCGAAGGTGTGGTTGAAAAAGAAAGAGTTCAGCTCACCTTCGAGTCGGAAAAGCGCCCCACCAACTAACCTATACAAAATAACCTGGGTCATCTCGTTCACCACCGTACACGCCTGCAACAAGTTTCTGAGAATATAGAACCCGCCGCCTGATTCATTCCTTGATACTAGATTTATGCTTGATTCACAGCCATCGTCTGGCCCCTGCGACAATGAGCCACCCGACTCGTGTCGACGACCTGTATGATAAACAGGTTCCCCGTCCGGCTAAATCGCCAGCCAAGACGGCTCAGGTTCAGGCGCAGAACCGACGGCGCGAGTATCTGGAGAGGCACCCAGGCTATTTCAACAGCCTGGACCACGAGCTCGCAGGCACGTAGCAGCGCCCTAGCCACGGCTATTCACGTCTAGCAAAAAAACAGGTCCATGGCTAATACCCTCAGCCCGTAGATCCGGTTCTGTACGAGCGCCTCATCAAGCGGCACCAGACCTCGTCGGAGCGCCAGCAAGAAGGTCAAGCCAAAGGCTACGGACGCGTGCTCGAAGCAGACCTTGCCCGCGGGGAGACTCGTCTCTCCGCGCTCGCCACCGAGGCCGCAGGCGAGCAGAGGGAGGATTTGTCGCCGGCCAGGCACAGGTGGCACGCTGCGTCGGATATAGACAATCCCTGGGACGGGGAAGCGAGCACTAAGGAGCAGGGTTCTGAGTTGTGGAGGGAGTTTCTACGGGAGCGCTTTATACGCGGCGGGGATGAGGACGTTGACTACGCCAAGGTAGATGGCAATGAGGAGCTTGATGTGGTGTTGCGGCGGGACGAGGAGGATCAGTGGTTTGAGGACGAGGAGCCGAGCTGGGTTGGGGAAAGGGACGCGGCGGGCGAGACTGGGGTGCAGGATTTTTGAGACTCTACAAAATGAACGAGTAACAGTGATGATGACCTTCTCGAGTGGACTTGTTGATGAGGCTGAACCGGGAACGGAATGAAATTCCCTGAGAGGCAGTGCAGCCGCCCGGGTGAATGCAGCAGGTGAGTAGCGAGCCGCTTCGATTGACAAGGATTAAAAAAGAAAAGCGGCTGGCTGCCCGTTGAATGAAGGAGAACGAGCAGGGAATCGTAAAAAAAAAATAAGAAAAAAAAATAAATCCTCCGGTACTGGGAATCGAACCCAGGGCTGCTCGGTAACAAATACTTTATAATGATACTTGAGAGCGAGCGATGTTAGCCACTACACCATACCGGATGGTTTTGTTTTGTTGGGAAACTCAGCGCTATTGTTATACTTAAATCCTACAAGGACCTATGCGCTAAAAACGGGCTGCTTGACAAGGCTTAATTTCGGCACCGTCGACAACACACCATCCATCACACACATGGACGGAGACTGCTAGAGGAAGCGGGAGTCTTCCTTCATCTGGATGACCAAGACAAAACCGATTTTGCAAATGGGCTTTATTCTCGGGGACGGTGGAAATCGCAAGTTTCCGCGAACCTAGTAGTATTCGTCAACCCCCAACTTGCTAAGCTGATATGTGAGTCGTTAATACAGCCATGAGATTTTCCAGTGCTTTTCTCGTCTCATCATCCTAGTCTAGCTTGGGAATATCCACATGGGCCGTTTTATTACCGATTTCGTCAACGTAGAGCTTTTTGAAGTGTTTATCGAAGTAGGGCCGTACGTGGGGAAACTGGCCCCATTGGGCGAGGACCTTGAAGACGTTGTCCATCTTCTCCTTGTTCACAATGCCTTTCCACCCCAGCAACCGCTCGCAATGGAGCAACAAGCCGGCAAGTCCGGAGCCGCAAGCGGTAGCCAGCGAGCTACCATTCGTATGAATGAGATTTGCCGTCACCGTTTTTGATGGGGATCCGTTTGCCCGGCAAGAGGAACTGGGCTGGCTTCTCGTTCACCCAGGCCAGCTTATGTCCCCGGTGAGAGGCGGCGCCAATCCGCGCGCACTCCTTCGACCATTGGCAAGGGAACGAGCGGTCGTTTTGGCTGCCACTTGAGTCGCTCGTCGAGCAGAACACGAGAATCTTTTGTTTGTAGGCTTTTTTTACGGCCTTGTGAAGCGCTTCGATGTCCTCGCTGTTTGTGGTCCCGTTTTCTATCGTCCAGCTCATCGATATGATGCCCACCTTGCAGTCAACCGCCCGTATCGCTGCCTTTTGGTTATTTAGCAAGGAAGCTCGGTAGGGAATGGCCTCGCTTCACTTACCTTGGCGGCAGACTCTGCCGTGATACATCGCCCACTGCCATCTGGCGCTAAACGCTCCTCCAGCCTGGTGATGAAGAGACGCGGATCGGGGCAGATTTGGGTTATCAGTTTGGCCATCTAAGTTCCGTGCTTGCCCGATGGAACGAAATAAGAATTCATGAACTCGGTTGAGTTGGGATAGTGCGAGAAGCTCTTGCCCATTGCGATTGCCCGCTGGAGGGATGGGTCGCCCATGCCATCATCGATGATGGCGATCTTGACAGGCGTGACCTTTGCTTCCCGACAACCACAGAGAAACCTGCGGAAGTTATCCAGGCATCCAATCCAGGGATGCGATCTACATTGAGGTTAGGCTTGTCCCCTGATGATAGAACAGCGAGTTACTCACTCTTCCTCATTCCCGGGAATGCTTCGGAAGTCAGAAGCATAAGTGAAATCTTTCGTGTCCAGATAACTCTTTAGCTTAATTTCAATTTGTTCCTTTGTTGTGATACCTCTCTGGTATAGTGATGTCGTCTTTAGACGCTGAATCAATGACTGGCCTTCCGATGCCAGCAGCCCGGCATCCTCAGCTCGGCAGAATGTCTGGTGCTCTGACTGTAGTCCGTCGATAAACGCCAATACGTATTCCTCAAGGGCTTTTGGTCCCCTACGGATGATATTCAGTTGTCTCTTGAAGTTGTTGATCGAGGTCAACAGCCTTTCGCGCTCGAGGTCGGTGTCGTCCTCGCCCTTAATGGCTGGTAAGAATTCCATTGAATAGCCTATTTGTTTCAAGTCTGCTCACCTGTCGTACGTAAAAATTTATTTTGCGCAGCTGTACCTATATTAGCAAGTCTTCTTTAAACACTATTCTTTCGCGTCGCCAGCTGTTTATAGAACTTATGGCCATACCTTGGGGAACTTGGGGTTCCCGAACACTTGAGGGTCAGACCAACCCATCACGGCGGCCCCGTTGCCAGAAGAATAGAGGGATATCTCTCTTACAGAGCTCGCGCAATTGAGTATTGCATCGCTGCGCAAATCTACCTTTCCCCAATCCCAAACCTCGACGTCTAAACTTTTAAGGGCCTCTTCGATGGCGGGATCACTATGGTACTGTCCACCGTAATCTATGACGGTGACTTTGATGATATTCTTTACCTGGCTCTGCGCAACCATTCAAAGACGGCTCATAAGTCAGTCATACTCTCTGTCTCTTCCCGAGGAAGCTTCCTAGATTGAGGCGTGTGTTGGCAAGTTGGGGGCTACGCCGAGCTACCCTCGTAATCTTTGCTTACCTCCTGACGAATTGCTGAGTCTTCGGTAGCTCAACAGATAGCATCGGTAGAGCCATGCATTTCAACATACTCTCGAAGCGGATGCGTGTGCATAGCTCCCTGAGAAATGATCGTGATATATAAGTTTTCGGAAGATCGGCTAGATCAAAATCTAGGTGACTTTCTCTTAGTCTAGTCAGTATAAAGCTAATCGATTGTTCAGGCAGAGATGTTTCTCTACATGCCGTCATCCGATTGGTAAAGACACTGAACAATATCATCACGGTTATCAAGCTCGCGAATACAAAAGGCTAGGATGTGCTGCACTACAGGGTCTGCGACCACTACTTTGCGCAAAGCTTCTTTCTCACTTCTTCTGTGTCACCATTCTTGATAAGTGAAAGCAGTGCTTTAAAGGTTTGGCATTCCTCCAACCTCTCAATTCGCTCTTAATACAGCGTTCCCCCTGCCTTATTCGTAACTTCAAGGCCTTTTTCAGGCCTTGAGCACATCTTCGATGATAAGCAGTCGACAATCAAGGGCCGGGATTAACTTGTTGAGATTCGTCAATGTAATGTCTTCGGAGGCCCAGCCGGAGTTTCCGTCACCATTTCGTCGTCCTCCGTGTTCGGCTCATCCTCTTCATGAAGCTCAATTTCCGACCCCTCCGCTAGCAGTGATGACGCTTCGTCCTCATCTTTCAGATCATCATCGTGCAAACTAGTTCCCCTCTCAGAAAGAATAGCGCTAAGCGTGCTTCGATCTTCGTCACTTGCTCCGGACTGTCCGCCATTTGCTCCTGTGGAAGCATTCCTTTCAGAACATCCTTCAGTATGTCTTCCGTAGCCTCCTCTCTCGTGAACTACATGATCTCGTGTACAGGAGTATCGTCCTCAGAGGTCTTTTCATAAAAGGTTTCAGGATAGCCCGCGCACCTCCCTGTCAGGATCGGCAGTGACGGAGACAAGTGCTCGAGGGCAAGCAAGAGGCCGTTGAAGATCTTCCTCCCGGCCCTTTGATATAATTTGATGTAAAAAACCTTGGTCGTCCACCTGGAGCACGACATCGACAAAGTCGTGTTGCTTAAAGACGAGCGCATAGGCAAGCGCATTGTATTGTAAGTTTGGATGCTTGGCATCAAGGAGGTGATGATGCTTTTCAAAAAGCTTATTGAGGAAATACTTCATGCCAACATGGTCGTTACACCAGCTAGACCAACTGTCGTACATGGACTTATTTTCCAGGAGCGCGAACAAGACGTGTTCGCCATGTTCCTCAGCTGGTTCGAGACTGGGTTTCTTTAAAAGATGTTCGTATTACGCGAACAGCGCCTCGAACTCGCCCTCTACGCTGGCCGAGAAATCAGATGAGCTCAACTCCTGAGCTTTTTCTAGGAACCGTGTGATCTGCTCGGCTCTTGGTGAAGTAGGCGGCGGGCGGGCCTTGGAAGCATTCGAGGGAGGAGGTTTTGGTCCTCGTTGGGACGTGGTCTCGGATCCCTTTCTAGCTTTCCGAGATTGCTACTCTTTTGCTCCCTTTGAAGTCCTGCGCTCCACACGTTGAGCTTCGTTAGAGTTGCGAGCCATGCTCCGGACTTCCCAGCACTAGTACTGAATTCACAGAAAATCCAGAACACGTATTCTTGCCCGTAGAAAGTATTCAAAGATGCTCGAATGCCTATAGATTATCTTGAGATGCCCAAAGCGGAAAGACACTGGCGCCGTGTGCAAAATAAGTTGGGAGGGGGGGATATTGCAGCTCATTTCAAGAAGCAGTCTTGCCCTCGGATTCCAAACGGGGGAGGTATACGACACATTCCCGTATGCCTTACATGTCCCCCCCTCCTGAAAGTCCTTCGCACGGCTCTGTGAATCACGAATCAAGTATTGTAAATAAACGCAGGAGATATGACATTGCAAGTGTAGCTGCAGCTTTTTGTGGCGCTCGATAGTGCTTATTGCTGCAGGTGCTGGCAGTCGCAGAGCCGGATAGTAATGCATAACAGCAGGCTACATACGGAGTATATAGCCTCTTTGCTTCAGGTCAAAAGTGTACATGTGTAGTTTTATTTGCAGCTTGAGGGTCTGCATGAGAGGAAGCTTCCCGGCCTTTTGCCTAAGCAAGGCAATCAGCTGGCCTCATACTTGGAACATCTTACCTGGAATACCTAAAACATCCCCTTGGGATTATACCGACATCTTCTGCATCCCATCCACAATAATGGATATCGAGATTGAGCTTCTCGTAGAAGGAATCCATGGCAATGAGCTCCTCCCAAGGCTGAGCTAGAGCTCTCGCCCGCAGCGGTGCAGACCAGCCGCAGCGCTGCCCTACTCACGAGGGTCAGCATCGTCGGCATCACCCATGGCAAACTCGACTTCTTGTCGGGACTTGGGTCGCCCCGGCCTCTTTTCGGACGGTAGAAGGTGGACGCGGTGCGACCGACAAAGATCGACGCCGGGATTGACCCCATGAAGATTGACTTGACCAACATGGACAAGTTGGACCTAATAACCCACGCCGATGTCATTCTTGTCCCCCCGATTGAGGCGTAGGGTGTCAGGCTGGGCGGCTAACTGCCGTACCCAGCTGTTGTTGGCGGAACAAGGACATGGAGACATGGGGACTTTTTCGTTCCTATTTTGGGCCACAATGCCTTGGGGTCCTCGCGGCGGGCTAAATGAGGCTCTTCTGTCATAATGCCTGAAATTGACAGGCTGTGCTCAAATAAAGGCCATTCAGTCGGCGTTTGAAACAACAGTCCGCTCCCGTGAGGGTGTCGTGGTCTGCATATTGGTCCAGAATCTCCCATATTCAGATGGGCAGAGGAGAAAGTGAGGCGTGAGGGATGACGACGGCATGGCACGTCAAAAGAAGGTCGAGTCTGTGGTCACCCACCAGCCCCCTTCAAACTGTTCTGAATAGGCCCAGGCCTAGTTTATTGTTATTTTTGCTGCGGGAGCGCGGCGTAAGCCGAGTATGTGCTGAAGGTGGTTGAGGGAAACATGCTTGTGGATAATCCAGTCCAGCAAGTTCCCTCCTCAATTACATATTACCTAAAAGGTAATGACGTTATTATTATCAACTGAAGTTATCGATGTAGCACCAATTGCGTTGGTGTGTTTGGCGCGTCATGATGCGCGTATAAACGGTTCATTTTTTTAGTCTCTTACTATTTTTAGCTTAATATAGCCTGATATTACATTACTAGATATTGGGCTTATATAATACTTGTACTATGCTCGTAGTATGAATATTTAACTTGAGAGGATTATATAAACTGTTACAACTACCTTGAATATTTAATATATATTTTAATCAAGCAATAAAGCTACACCTGTTTAGGCCAGGTGCACGGGAGACGCGGCTCGTGCCGTGGTGGATGCATTCATCCGCAGGCATCCTAACGCGCAACTCAACCGCGGGGCATAAGTACTTAAACGGAGTACAGTATGTATGGAGCCTACCAAACTCTACCACAAAGGGGGCGTCACTGTAAAATATTGAATGGGTGTGGTGTGTAGGCATTGGCCCAGATTGTTGTACTGATGTCGTGCAGTAGGGGATATTGTGTCTTGTCCATTTTCTTGTTTCCACCAGCCAAATCTAACAAGTTACTTCCGTCTTAACTACCTAGGTTTATCCAACTAACATATCGGTTTAAGCGTCACCATCTCTCCTTTTTATGCGGTTAAGCATGTCGCAGGCGACACAGCACTTAATGGCGTGAGTGGTTCGCTAGACTTACGATGCCTCACGTAGCTCACGACTCGAAATTGATGATCCTTTGTTTTCCTTTCTTTTCCCATTTCCCGTGAGCGGGGAAGTCCTTTGTCCAGATACCCATGGCCACAGTATGAATTTGCGCCGATTTAGTTGCATATTCCCGCCAATCTCACAGGGTTATGCAAATCCATGTCGAGCATGGCACTCACGAATCGAATGCCTGGTGCTTGCTGCGGGCGATTCCTCACTCGGATACTGTGGCGTATGTTGGTGTGGCCCATCATCAACAGTAGTATCTTTCATTCAGCAGTGCGCGTGTCATCTTGGACCAGATGATCAACATTGGAAATGACTGCGATGTGAGGTTTTGTGGTCGAGATCGCCGGACATCTCTAGTTTCGAGACCAGGAACTTCCAAATCACTGAATAAACTCCTTGGTCGCTTGTGGACGCAGGAGCTCGGTCGGCATGGGTATCCAGTTCCGGTGCGCCGCATCCTACAAATGCCGCAACATACGACTTGCGCTAACAGCACGCAGCCTTATTTTGATTCACGGGGTCGCGACAGCGAGAATCGAGGAATCGGCACCGAGCCGTGGATACAACTTTTTGCAGACTAGATTCCCGGACGCCATATTACACGAGTACCAGTTTCCATATTGGTCGCATGAGCAGGACTATGGGCCATCTGATATCAGCCAACAAGCTCGCCGCATCTTGGACGAAGTCGCCGGTACCAGGAATAAAGAAGATGTGAGTCGAGACTTGATCCGGAAACGTTAATCTCACGGTGCAAAGCTAACTATTATTGGAGGAATACAAACAAGGACTGCCGCTTTTCTTCATGGGGTATGATCTCGGAGGCTCCCTTGTTAAAGAAGTAAGATAAGCACTAGAACTTCAAATACTCGAGATATAACCTGGTGACAAGTCCGGGAGTAGATCGTTCGCCTTGCTACAGGAGAGCCAAAATACCACCCCATTATGATGGATATTAGGACGATTGTAAGCAATACAGCCCACAAGTTCACCTCTTAGGTCCTTGGGACTAACCGCGCGTAGATGTTCTTTGGCACGCCGCACAAAGCCTTGGATGTGGTCCCTTGGGAGCAACACATAATTCGCCTATTGTCTATTACGGATGCTCTCTCAGAAAGCGCAGTGCAGCTATTGCAGCAGCTCCCCCAAGCACTCGAAGACATTAGCACAGATTTCTCTACTCTTTCTCATTACTTCCGGATCGTCAATTTTCTCCAGCGTAACGGTATCGGATCGACTAGACCAGTGGGTGTGAATAATCCTAACCTTTTCTCTTAGCCCTACCTTCTCGAAACTGATTTTGTCTTGTTGTAGACAATAGCCGCGGCTTGCGCGCGCCTGGATGTCGCCAAGGAGAATAACATAGAGCTCGACTGTGATCACATCCAATTCTGGGATTTTGAAGACCGCGACCCCACGACTGAACTCATCTGTGCTAATCTGGTGGGTGTGACGAGCATAGGCTTCGACCGTACGTTCAATGGGGCCTTTTACGTATAAGCGAAAGCTGACCCTCGTCGCCACGCAGCCGTGAGACTTCAGATTGACCACTTTATTTCAGCTTTGGCATCCATTGATCCTAATACACACCGGCTCAGGCCGATCAAGGCCCTCCCAAATTCGCTCGACTGGGCTGTCAAGCACAAATCATACATTGACTGGGTGGAAGAACCTAGAGCCAGCATCTTACATATCACAGGATCGTCTGGCTCTGGAACGACTGCCATTGCGTCTCACATACTACAAATGCTTCTCCAAAAGCCCGACTCGGAAAGAGCGGTTGTGTTGAGCTTCTCATTTAACAAACAAGACATCCGAGCCCGGACCTTAAACAGCCTACTGCTGTCCCTGTGTCGGCAACTTCTGTTGGCGCGTCCCTCGTTGTTCCATCACGTTATATGGACTTGCTCGTTCCTTATACTAGGAGGGCTCATCACAACTGAAACGCTATGGAGTGTCCTTCGCTCACTAGCCATGCATTTCTCCCTCTACATGGTTGGCACACCTCTTGTTTGTGTTATTGATTCCTTGCATGAATGTCATGTCTCGTTGAATTCTACCCTCAAGCAGCTGAGTGAGTTTATGTCCTTCACTCAAGGCCCAGTCAAGATGATCCTTACGAGTGATGTTTCCTTTGCGCTCAAGCCCCCACCAAAATGCTCATACAGGATCAATTTAAACAATCAGCGTGATAATAAGTCAGCCGTGGAGAACTTCGTCCGGGCTAGCTTGTCGCAGCTCGCAAGAGAAAATCGACTATGGCGAGCAAAGAATCTTCAGGATCAAGTCATCAAAAAGCTCTGCGGCCGCAAACCAAATTACCTGCTTGCAGCCAGGAGCATGGATCTGCTAAGAACCTCGGCGACGCAGTCAACCCTTTCATCCGTCCAGGCAGAGATCGACCGGGTGCCTCACACCTTAAACGAGTCGTACAATCGCTCAATTGCAACAGCGTCGATGGACGACTGGGTGGGCTGCGCCTTGCGATGGATTGTGCACGCAGTACGGCCATTGTCGGAGCGAGAACTGGCCGTAGCCGTCGCACTGGATAAATCCAAGGACCAGCCTTTCGAACTCCTCAAGAATCATATCTCAGTCAGCATCACGGCGGATCTTTTTCACATCATAGGGCCTCTGATAAGAGTCATTGATGGCCAAGTTCTGCCTTTCCATCGGAGCTTGAGAGACTACCTGTCTGAATTCGACACTGCGGTGGAGCAAGCCAGTCGCATGCAGAATCATGATAACAGAGCTAAAGATCCCCATCTCGAGATTCTGACAAGATGTCTAGACTATATCGAGAGGTTGATACCACACAGCAGCATTGTTTTAGCTGAAAACCAACGACCATTAGAGTTGTCAGACGCAAAACTGGCTCTCATCGACTATGCCTGCCTGTATTGGCCGGAGCATTACAAGCTTGTGCAGCCAGGGTCGAAGATCCAAGCAACCCTCAAGGTTTCCCAATTTTTGATAGAGACAAGGCATGTGTCTTTCTGGGGTAGAGAATATCAACAACGAGCCGGAACGTTGACTGCCAAGGGCCACCCCCTTGATACCCGTCTCAAAGTGGTATGCTATTTTGGTTTGGATGATCTCCTTTGTGACTCTCTTGTCCACGCCAAGTCCACCGCGGGAAGTTCTAGAGAGCTTCAAGACGCTCTGAACCTAGCTGCGAGCCAAAGTCGCTCTACAATCGTCGACATTCTCGTCCGCGAAGGAATAACATCTATCGATGCGTTAGGCTTGGCATCAGCCAGTGGATTCGATAACGTGATGGGCCTGCTCTCAACAAGGATGTCAATTGATCAGATAGACTCGACTGGTTACACCCCCCTACATCAAGCTGCCTGTCGAGGACACAGAAAATCTGTTCAGTTCCTGATAAGAAAAGGAGCCGACTTGGAGAAGCCAACATGCCAAGGTTCTACTGCTCTTCATCTCGCGTGTCGAACCGGACAGATATCGATTGTACGAATGCTAATAAAGCAGCGGGTGAATCTTGCAGCAGAGGACTCGGATGGTTACGACGGCCTGAAACTGGCAGCCCAGGCGGGCTACAGTGAAATCGTTCGTGAATTACTCGACAAAATGGTCGATCCACTGAAGCCATTGAGAAGTGGTGACACGGCTATCCATCTAGCCGCTGAATTCGGTCACCCGCTCACGGTTGGAATTCTTCTCAAGAAGTCGCCAAATGGTGTGGATTATATGAACAACAGGAAATACTCCCCTCTTCATCTCGCAGCAGCCAGGGGCTACGTGAATATTCTTCAGCAGTTGCTGCGAGTCAAAGGGCTTCACGACATTCCCGAAAGAAGCCATGTCACAAATGATGAGAATGACACCACCGAGGGTTCGTTTGTCATCACTGCCCACCATAACCGCACGCCCTTGCAACTGGCAGCCGAGAATGGCCATCTAGCCGCAGTCCAGGAGCTCCTGGAGCCGAAAATAGATGACAGCGTCCGCAATTGCAGCATCGCGTTTTTCTTGGCCGCCGCCAATGGCCATGCCTCTATTGTGGAGCGACTTTTAAAGCACGGCATCAGGAACACCGTTGTTGACGAGGAAGGAAACACACCGCTTCATGTTGCTGCTCGAGAAGGGCACGTCGGTGTGATTTTGATGCTCCCAGACACGCCCGAATTTGCCGTCAACCCAAAGAACGCCAAAGGATGGACACCGCTTCACATGGCAGCAAATTTTGGAAACTTAAGGACCGTCAAGGAGCTCCTGAAACTCGGCGCTGGCATTAAATCGGTTACCGACAACAATGACACACCCCTCCTGCTAGCCGCGGCTGGCGGCTACCGCTTGACAGCTCGAGAGCTCATTGAAAAGGCACCGGACGCTAAATCTAGGAACAGAGAAGGCCGGGAAGCCATTAATGTTGCAGCCAAGAGGGGCCATGTGGCGATTGTGCAAGAACTACTCTTGGCCGGCGTTCAGCTGCAGTCTCCTTTCCATGACGAGACACTGGTAGCCGACGCTGAGATTTTACAGCTTTTGCTCGACAGAAACCAGTGGACTTGTACGGAACCCGACAACCGCGGTAGTATGTACACGCCGTTACACGTCGCGGTATTGGGAAACTCCCTGGCCTCTGTCAAAATTCTACTAGGTGCTTCAGTCGACGTCAATGCCAAAGACTCGTTGAAGAGGACACCACTCCACTTGGCGGCAGAGAACGGCTATGGTGATATCGCCGAAGCCCTGATACTTGCGGGTACAGATCTGGATGCAGAGGACCACGAGGGGTGCACCGCGCTATACACGGCCTGCTACTTTGGAAAGCTGGATGTTGTCCAGTCACTGCTGAAGTCTGAGGACGCCAAGTATCGAGCAGACGTGAGGAAGCGAGCCGCGTTGCGTGGCTGGGCGCCTCTGCACGCTGCACATGACAACGCAGATATAACCAAGCTTCTCCTCGAGGCGAATGCTGAGGTGGATTGCCAAGCTCGCAACGATGGTTTGACGGCACTCGCAATGGCGGTTTTTGAAGACTATGATGTAGCCAAGCTGCTTCTGCAGCACAAGGCGAATCCTAACGTGGCCGACGTAGATGGCGAGACGAGCGTACACTGCGCGGCCAACGGCTACGGAGGGCCTGAAATGCTCGAGCTCCTCGCAACGTACGAGGCTGATCTGGACGCCCAAAGTCTCGATAAAACTACTCCTCTTCACCTTGCCGCCAAGGAGCAGGAAGAAGGAGTAGTGAGATTCCTCTTGGAGAAAGGAGCCAAGGTGGACAATGTTAGCGACAGATACGGCACGGCTCTGATCGCTGCCGCCGAGGGAGGGGATGTGTCGATAGCCAAGCTTATCCTGGCAAAAGGCGCCGACGTAAATGCCACTGGCGGGAGATTTCACACGGCTCTGCAGGCGGCAGTGTCCGAAGGCAATAGTGAGATGGTAGATCTGCTCCTGAAGGAGGGAGCGGCCGTGAACATGCGTCACGAATCCATTGGCACCGCCCTGGAGGGCGCCATCAAACAAGGTCACGTCGGCATAGCCTTCAGGCTGCTCGATGCAAATGCTGAAGTCAATGCAGTGGATAAGAAGAAGGAGTCGCCTTTGCAGATGGCTGTGCGGCGCAGCCTGGGTTCCCTGGTTCAACGACTCATCCAGGAAGGGGCCGACGTCGACTGCCAGGAGAGTGAAGTAGATTCGCCGCTGTGCCTCGCTGTGATGAAAGGAGACGGTGATATATTAGAGGCGATGCTCAAAGCCGGAGCCAATATACCCACGAGGTTCAAAAACGGACATTCACTCCTTTCGTATGCTATCTGGTATAAGCTGCATTCTCGATTCCCGGTGCTTCTGGATGCCGGAGCATGGGATGAGCTGGCCCTCGAGGACGCGGTCCGCGCCAGCGACGCGGCTATGGTAGATGCGCTCTTGGGTCTTCTCGAAGGGCCCGTAGCAGATGTATCCGGCAGAGAAAGCTTGGTGCATCTAGCCATTGAGAGGGCCCACGTGGATATCCTCAGAGCCCTTGACAAACGAGGAGCGGATTTCCATGTGAACGACAGGTATGGCCGTGGAGTCTTGAGCCATGCCATAGACTTGCACAGAAACAGTATCGTCGACTACCTTATCCAACGTCGTGATTCTTATTATTTCGAACAAGCTGATGATCACGGTCGTACACCTCTCACATGGGCGGTGATCAGACATAGCGATTGCCTCCAAGACCTGATCAGAATGACAAGTAATCTTGATGTCACTGACAACGAGGGCAAAACACCGTTGATGTACGCTTGTATGCATGATTATGGTGAAGCCGTGCGCATTTTGCTTGAACGGGGAGCAGATCCGAGCATAGTTGACTGTCGCGGCCGCGGAGCACTTTACTGGGCTGCTCGTCGAGCTCGCCTCGAACTATTTGAAACGATATGCGATAGACTAATCCCAGAACAATGTTACTCAAGTCACTTCGCAGGTGCCTTGAGCGCCGCCGTTGCATCACGCAGGAGCAATTTCATCGACAGGCTTCCCTACAAGTATCCCGGAATTTGGGACGTGCCAGACGCGGAGGGCTGGTCGCCGAGATACACCGCAAAGCAGTACGGTACTGATATTGCGCACTTACACACCGACGTGGAATTTGAAGAGAAAGGTTTCAGCTACTTGCCAAAGCGCCCGGCGAGGTGGTCAGATACCGATCGGTCGCCGAATCTTAGTGTCAGCAGCGACGGGAAAGTGATTACCGTTTCTGGTCAGTGGCATCTCCAGGAGCAGGCAAGCGTACACAACTACCGTTGCCTGCATCTCTCTGTTTTGCATAATGAAGTAGCTAATTTCGTCTTGCAGGGAAGCCAGGCGGCGTCGGGGCGGCATATGCAGTGATTCGCGCCGACTTTCCGATGGTGCCTATCCCAGAGCTTAATAACGTCTATTATTTCGAAGTAAAAATCGAGAAGAGTCAAGACCCTAGGTATATATATTGTCTACCCATACGCCATTCCCGGCACCAGAGCTTAACTGAAGTGCCTGTCTAGGAGTTGGGGGATAGGCTTCTGCGAGGAGCATGTCGAGCTTGATGCCATGGTTGGCTGGTACAATGGCTCATGGGGTTACCGAGGACATGACGGCGAGGTATACGGTGAAGGGTCCAAAGAGTCCAACAGCAATTACGACGCCAAGTACGACCAAGATGCCGTCGTAGGGTGTGGCATCAATTTCGACCAACACGTTGCTTTCTACACCAAGGATGGAGTAGTCCTAGGTAAGTTCTTACCTCGAACAGCAAATTCTTGGGCCAAAGAGAATCTAACGGAGAGTCCTTGTAGGTAAAGCGTTCACTGACGTCAAGGGAAAACTGTACCCTGCCGTTAGCGTCGATGAGTGCATGGTGGGCTCGCAGGTGTCGACCAAATTTTGGGACGGCGAAACGACAAATTTCATGTACAAGGGCAGCCTTACGGCTCCGGAGACGCTGGCCTGGCCAGAAGCAGCACTTGATCCGATAGCTGACGGCTTGGAGTTGGAGAAGGAGATGACGGAAGCTCCAGACGGCGACGTCGTGATGTAGATACCATGATTTTGTGGAATTAATGAGGACTTGAAACGTGGTGTTTTGGTGTGCCCACACCCAACCACCCATATCACTGTTTTTTTGGTTATTTAGCAAGGAAGCTCGGTAGAGAATAGCCTCACTCACTTACCTTGGCGGCAGACTCTGCCGTGATACGTCGCCCAGCAGTAGCGATGTCATGGCATCTAGCGCACATGACAACCAAGATTCGCCGTCGCATTTCGCCTTGGAACGGTGATGCCGGGAATGTGTGAAGGATTTGGGATTTCATGAGGATACGCTGAGGGAGTTGAAGCCGAGAGAGGGGCACCTGAAGGGTTGACCTGATGAGGAACCTTTTTTGGGGCGGCAGAGGCTAAGAAATTAATATGTATTGTCGACATGTAATAATTTGCCAGCTGGAGGCAACTGGAAAGTAAGGGGGCAGTGAATCATCGGTTACATATATCGTTGCCAGCTGGCAGCACTGTGTAATTTTGGGCACTCTAGCCACCTTATTTCCTTTGCCTTTCTTCTGTTATTCTCTCTACTTTCACAACCCAATTACCACCTAAGCTCGTGGTATTCTTTCATCGTGCCTGCATTTAATTTGGCTCCTGGCCTGACGATTCCTGCATTTCTCGAAACTGCAACCACTGAGGAACAGAGAACCTTGCTTTTGTACCCCCCTCGTTTACCAAGGCCTTAGAGACATGGAGCCAGCTCAAGGGAAACGGCGAAAGATTAGCCCCCGTTTTGGCTTCCCAAAATTCAACACATCCTCTTCTCAAAGCTCCAGGCCAGGTCCTCCAGAGCAAACCATGCGTACCGATCATCTTGGGACCAGGCGAGCCCTCGCTGTTGGCAACCTGTCGAATGAAAATCCTGGGGGAGGCCAGATTCATGAGAGTGATGGGCCGGATCGGGGAAATCCTTCCCGTGATGAGACCACCGGCTCTAGCCCGACAAGACTGACCAACTCGGACCCTTCTTCTGCTGAGAAGAGGGACGGACCGGCTATTGCTGGGAATGGGAAGCCTGGTTCACCTCAAGGGACTGCCGGTGACGCGACTAAATCTAGTTATAAGAGACGCCATGTTGAGGCAGAGAGTGGAACAGGCGGCAACCGTCAAGATGAGTACCGATCGACAGGCTTACTCTCGGAGGGACCCAACATTGCCGGGAGCGAGCTGGCACGACCAAAGGAATCGGAAGCAGCAGAGAAAGATGGTGTGTCAGGACAGGAAAAGGTCACGGAACCCCCAGTTGATCAAGAGGCGAATTCTGCAGGACATGGACGAGCCGCCCAACGCCAAAAGGGTACATTAACCTAAGGGAGAGAGGGCGGACTCATCACAATGATGTGGGCAGTTCTGCGCCCAGAGACCTGTCGTTAGCAATCATGACGGTGGTAGTGAACCGCCTTAATGCTATGATGGTTCAGTATAAAGCTGTGGGAATCGTTGCTAAACACCTTCCGCCGTTCCGTTTGGACCAAGTAGGAGGTATTGGGCTGAAAGGGCATCCCACAGATGCTGAAATCGCAGCGGCTGAGGATGAGGAGATGCGTCGTTATAATGAGGCAATGAAGGGGTACTATTTTACTGAGCCGGAAGCTAAGAAGTAGGGACGGGTTGCGTCGCGTCTTTATGTTGTTTGTTAGTGCGCTAGTCTTTGATGGGGAGGGAGTGCGGGATAATTCGCATCGCTATTCCTAACAAGTGCTTTAGATATATTGTTCCAACTGCGCGCCGTGTAGCCTCAATGGCGGTAATGGCACCAGCCGCCAGCCTGTCAAATGTCCCAGATCCTCTTCATATTGGGGTTCACAATCGTTCCAATTTAGCCCAAGGAGCCCGTGTAGCTCTCCTATAGATGTCCTGTCTAGACCGGACTACATGGCCCATACTCCCACTTTACATCTCCTGATGACCCCCCATGGTGGTGCTGTAAAAGGGGTTGCGCTAACCTGCTATAACACGCCCAATACTATTGATACATTACGTCCGGTCAAACTAAGCCAGCATCTGCCCTATAATTAACGAATAGGCTAGAATTGGAAAAAGGTATGGATCCGTCGGCACACGTATTCCAAGTGTCAATACATATTCTTCTCACGATCAAGAGACGGACGTTCGATTCAAAGACAATGGGGACCAGTACAACATGGTCGACTACCATGTCTTCTCGCTGCATACACTACACCCTCGCTGGCAGGGTACCTGACGCCGTACTCGCAAGTTCCGTGGGTATTGAGGCATTCTGGGCAGCGGACACGGCCTAAAAAGAGGACAAACACTTTCTCTTTTCCGGCACGCGACACACAGGGCATATTCTGAATCAGCGTAGCGCAGAGTAGGTCCCCAAGAGATATCCAATGACGATGCTGGCAAGACAGTAACCACGGCCGGCTTCTTCATGCCACCGCGAGGTCAAAAAATACACTCAGGTCTTCCAGATGGTGCAAGAGACCGAATTCTCCAAAGAGCGCCAGCCCCTGATCGTCAGATTGCACGCCTGGCGTCTGGTCCAACGCCCTCGTCTTGCAAAGCCCCTGAATATCCGCGTCTTGCAGCCTCCGAAACAGCACAGAGAGCAAGTTGGCTACCCGCTGCGCCTCTCTGGACCGCGCGCTGTGGCGAATCCATATCTCGTGCGACTTCCTCAGCGCGACTTCCACTTGCTGCGAGAGCATCCTCTCCCTGGAGTCTTGCTGGATGTCCGGCCGGCCCACCGCCGCGCGGTACATGTGCGTGATGAGAACGGTGGTTGCCATGAGGAACTCGTGCTTGACGACCGAGTACAGCAGCAGGGTGAGCGGGAAGAGCAGACCGCCCGGCCGGGTCTCGCGGTCAATCGTCTCTTGCACCCGTAGGATCTCCAGCGCGGCCTGTATGCAAATCTGATACCCTTCCGTGTCGCTCTTGAGCCGCCCGCCGCTCCTTCCGACAGTATCCCGATCAACGTCCGGACTCGTAACGGACCCAGTCGGCATGACATGGCGCCAGTTGAGAACGATGAGCCCCTTTTGCAACAGCATCGTGATGCTGAGCCGGTTCAACATGTCGCTAGGTCTACTGGACAAGATGGTACAAACGGCGTCGAATTTCGCATTCACAGGTACAGAGTCATACGCCTCTCTCAGCCGGGCCATCATTCTCTTCTCAGTCTCTAGGGCGGACGCGTCGCACCGGTCCGCCGCCACGCTCATGCTCGTATCGGCAATGGCCCCAAGCACCACCAGCATCCTGTGCTTCGCGAGCAGGTGCAAGACGGGCGTGGCCTCAGACTCTGGCCGCGACGGCGGAAGACGGGCAGCACCCTCGTCGAGTTCCGAGTCGTCTATGTTCCTCGGGGGCATCGTGTCCCACTGGCCGTCTTTGATGACGCGCGGCAGCCCCAGCAGCAGCGAGGTCATGACGTCGAGCGCGTGCATGACGACCCAGATGCGCCGCCGCATCTCGCCCTGGAACGGCGTGATGCCGGGAAAGTGCGACGGGTCGCGGTGGTAGCCCATGCGGAGGCCGAGGCGGACGATGACGCCCGTCAGCAGCCAGGTGCCGACGTCGGCGTCGGGGTACCTCGTCTGCTCGACGATGGTGTAGTGCAGGAGGGCCTCGAGGGCAAAGGGCCCGCCGTTACTGTAGTTTCCTGCTATGAGGCTCTGTTCCACCTGGTCGAGGTACTTGGGCCGCGAGGGGGGCATGCTCGGGACCGGCGTTTGCGGCGTGAGGCTGTTTTCGAGGACCAGGCTTTGAAAGGTTTCGGCCTGCGTGGCGAGACACATGATGCCGTAGAGGAGGGCTATCCACGTCAGGGGCGTGTTGAACGGATCGGCCCAGAATCTCTCGTACTACAGCCGGGCTTGTTAGTGACGACGGCAGAGATGCATGTTGCTGAGGACCGGATTTTGCATACTTGTCGGGAGAAGCTGCCTGGGTGCAAAAGGACTGTCTTGATGTCAGTACAGCCATCCTTTCTGCATGGAAAATAGGGTGCGTTACCAACCGTGTGGTATGGGCGGGTTGCTGAAATAGCTGGATACGAGCCGGTCCACGACACTCTTCTCCGGCATGGCTGCCAAAATATCGGCCACGGAAGCTGGTTTGTGCCATCCGTATAAAAGCCTGGGACGTTCCCTTGTGGTTCCAGGGATGAGAATGCTATCCTCTAGCCCGTACTCTGTCTGTTGCTCCGGAGAAGGCCTGTCGCTGTCATCTGGTTCTTCCTCGCTGAGCGTCTTCAACTCGGAGATGCTCTCCAGCACGGCTTTCCAGTGTGAACCGCCGACATATGCTGTTTTTGAATTATCCACATGCAGTTTTCCGGCTGTTGAATGGTCTGGTGCCATGGGTGGCGTTGCAGTGTCGCTTGTCGTTGGCAGTGTATCGGAACATTTCGCACAGAGACGCGGCTCGGCTGCTGACTTGTTCATCAATTGAACCACCAACCCTTCTAGATGATTGAGTCGTCCCTGGAACGTGGATGGGGTCTTTGGGTCTTTTGAGGATGCCCGAACAGTGGCATTAGGGTAGTGACATGAAGCGGACAGACCGCGAGATGCACACGCATCGCACGGTTGTTGCCGGTCGCATCGTTGCCTGTAAGTCAGTACGGTGCATTGAGGATCGGATTCGCGGTGAATCTTCTTACTTTCTACTTCTGCATAGATTGCAGGATAGCTGTGGCTTATCTCGTCGTCTACTTGCGAGCGGCGGTTGTGATGCGACCATGTCGCTGAGCTTTCCGGCTTCAGCCCGAGATGATCAAATATATTCTCTTGGGTTTATTTCGGGGCCTTATGCGATATAATTCGAGCGAATTAGACGTATGGTTGATGGAGTTGTAGCTTTACTGAGATGTGGTTGATGAGTGATGACATGTCTGACGATCGGAATCGGTGGCGGAGCATCGGAGCATCGGGCCACGGAGACTTCAGCAGCCCCGACGCCGATACGACTCGGTTCAACTAGAATCTCAACCTTGAAATAAGTCTCTCTTTGTAGCACAAGTCGCAATAGGTCCAAGTAATTTGGGATTTTTCTTTTACAAAGTGGACTGTGATTCTATCTGTGAATTTGGCTTCAGCCAGTGATGCTTTTGCGGCTTGCCTCACTGCTCACCGATGACCGGGAGCCAAGGGTGGCATCTCGTACGTCTCGCGCCACGATGGATGGGCTTGTGACAATGTCATCGCCTATCAAGTAAAGCATACTGGGACTTTTACGTCAAGCTGACAATGGTTCAAAGCCAGCAACGAGCAATATGCACATTGAACATCGAGTTGGCACTAAATGGACTCGCTTCTTGCATGTTGGGCAGGCCTCTGTCGTTACAATACTAGCAGGTTACCATGGGGAAACAAAGCCCATGACTATACGTGTCTGTATTTCTGTATCTGAACGAGACAAAAGTCTTATCAAAAAAGAGAAAAAAACCGGCTAGGGTTAGGGTTTTGCCTGGCTGATGTAAGTGGCAAGGAGAGACCAACTGGCCATTGCTTCCCAATCAGGCTAAATACAAGCCGCCTCTCATTATCGTACCAGATTGACGTGATTCGACAAACGATAGAGCCTGCAGTGAGAGCCTTGCGCATGAACTTCAAGGCACGTGCTGCAAGTACTACAGGAACTAAGCCTCCCCACTCACGGCGTTCTACACTCCTGCACAGTAATGCATCGGTCCCAGAGAGGCGACAAATCTAGTGGAGCATAACTACAAGCGGTTGCGGACACTGGATATGCAGGAAGCTGCTTCGTCTGAAATGGGCTGGGCCGAACGCCGCCGGATGAGCGGGTGGCTACGCTGACATGCAGCCGGATTCTTTGGGCAGACGTTGCCGCCGTCACTTACAAGGCGCCGGCGGGCAACTCGACAGCTTCACGGTTCACAAGGGACCGGCAGGGTCCGTCAATTGCAGAGAAGAAGAAAAAGGCTACACGGTAAGGACTGTTTCAAATTCGCTATCTAGACATATGCGCATTGGCCAAAGACTCATGTCGGAACCGGTTCAAAGTGTCTGGTACTTTTCGCTAAGCTACAGTGCATGCCAAGGGGGTGTTGTATTTCCGCACCCCCGAGATGATATGAGCGGGAATCCTGTCTCGCAAGAGAGCAGAGACTCTCTAGGAAAATTGGGCAATAGCGCTGTCAAACCTGGCGGCAATCTGGTTCTTGAGCCCCTCGGCCTCGGGCTGTTTATCAGCAGGAGCTCCATTTTTAAGAGCGTCGCTGAGGTCGCCGGTGTCTTTCTTGAGGGACTCCAGGCTGCTCTTGACAGTGCTGGTCAGGCCGTCGTTGGCAAACGTAGCCTTCTTGCCCTCCAAGGCGGCGAGGGTATTCTCGGTAGAAGGAAAAAGCGTGTCCTTGACGTAGGCGAGGATTTCATCGGCGTCGGCGTCGCTGACGGGGCCGGCGTTGTTGGCATTCGTGGTGCCGGTCTTGAGGTCCTTTGAGAGCTGCTGCTGGGCAGTCACGATGGGCAGAGCGTTGGCCAGACCACCATTGTAGCTGTTGACGGCGTTTAAGACGGCTTGGGTGTCAGCGTTGATGGTCTGGAGATCCTGCTTGACCTGAGCGGCGTCACGCTTGATGACGGAGCCGGTGGCGGCGACAGCAAGGAAGAGGAGGTTCTTGATGGAAAGCATTTTTTCTGGTCTGGGGTCTTGAACAAGATTGTTTGTTGGGGGTAGACGGAAAGAGGCCGTGATTTGCAGTGTTTGGAAATAAGAGGAAGATGATGGATGGGCTCAAGTCTAGAAACGGCGGGCTGTTGGCCCTGTTTTATACTTTTTCAAGCCGGCGCCGCGCCCTGATGGAGCAGCAGCACATCACAGGCGGCATCGAGCACCGCTCTCACGCCATCAGTATAGTTTCCTTGTGAAGCCTCGGCGAGGAACGTGAACATCGTCGCAGCCTCAAGGAGCTTCTCAGTGCGAGAGCAAGGGACGCGCCAGGCCCGCCCAGAGTGTGGTTACACCACATATAGCACCCCATAGTTCCATATACGCCCTCCATCTTGGCAACTTCCTTTCGGGGCATGGCCATGGTCGTCCTGGCCACGCGCGGACATGTGTGGCCGAGCCAAAAAGCGCACCAGGAACCTTACCCTGAGGGCCTGGCCATATACTGCGCATCCTATTATGGCCTACATGTAGTATGCGATGGGCGAGGCCCCACGCCCGGTAGTACAATAGTAGTACGTGCTATGCCTCGACGGGCCAACGAGAATCCTGCCAAAGGAAAGCAGACCGTTGACCAGACATGCCAGGAACCCGTGACAGATTCCGGGGGAGGGGCAGCACTGGCCACGGCGAGCCGAGATTCCAGCCGGCAGTCTGGCAACCGAGCAGCGTGGGCTGGAAACCTGGGATACTATTCCGGAAGACCAGACAGAATCTGCATGTATGTACAATACGCGGCGGCAGTTGTCGAGCCGGGGCGACGTGGCCGTGATCGAATCACGATGCGCAGACACAAAGACGCACAACATGGCCGTCGAACCAGGTGATTGTGTTGGAGGAAGAGGCCCTTGGCGTTCCACACAGGGGCCCTTCCCCATCTACCCCGCTGTTTATGCGTGAATGCGAAGATTGAAGATTGATGAGCAAATGGACGCTTGGCTCGCGCCAGTCCGACACCGGGCCTGAGCTCCGGACGATGTAACCGCTCGGCCGATGGCTCTTCCCCAAAATCTGGGGGAGCCAGGCCCCGTCAGTCACGGGTGGAGAGAAGCCGCACGCCACGTCAAGCCCCCTTTTCATTGCCAGACTTTTCAGCTCCTCACGGCTCTATGTAGTCAAGCTGGTAGCACATGGATCCTACGGCCGGTGGCGCCTTTGGCGGGAGGACGAGCGTCGAGGCCGGAACGCCTGGCGCACACTGGGCCCAATGGACGTGAAGCGTCCCAACCAGGAGGGGGTTCTGGATGAACAAAAGAAGCCATGGCGTGATCTGCCCGTGCATGTGTCACTGTACATGTAGCAGAGTGGTCCATCAGACTCGACATGTCAAAGGTGGCATGATGCCCTGCGCACAAAAGCCGTGTGAATCAGCTACAGGCGCCATTTACCCGTGACGCGGCACTGCGAGGGGACACATTGGGAAAAAAAGAAGAAAAATCAATCTGCAATTCATGGAAAGGGCGCAAAGTGGCCAGATACACACACATCTACCGGAAGAGTCGAGACCACGGGGGCCGTTTTTTTGCAAACCACGACAACGGGTCAAATTAGTCATTTCCTCCACATGGCAGTCCAAATAAATCAATCGCTTAGAGAGCAGCACCCACTGCACCCACAATGGCAGCCATGGCTACATGTACGGCGAGGGGGATTTCACCCCGGGGAGCGCCGGCGACTATGACAGGAGAGCTGGGGGACGGGTGAGCGCCGCTTCCACCGCTGCCTCCGCTTCCTCCATTTCCTCCGCTGCCTCCGTGGCCGCCTTCGCCACCTGATGGGATAGGGACAAGGGTGCTGGTGGGATGGGGGCCAGATCCGGATCCGGGGCTGGTTTGTCCAGGAGCACAGCCTGGGCAACCGGAGCCGCCAGTGGGTTGGGGGCCAGAACCACTGGAGGGTTGAGATCCAGGACCACCAGTTGGGTGAGAACCGGAACCCCCAGTCGTGGTGCAAGGGATAGTCTCCGTCACAGGTACTTGCACAGTGGTAGTCTCACCGCAAGACTCGGAGGCGGTAGCCGTAGCTGTACCGAAACCAGTGCGAGTCTTGGAGCCAGTCGCGGTGGTACCTGTCGCGGTGCCAGACGTCTTGGTGCCGGTAGCAGACCCGGGCTCGGTGGCGGTTCCGGAAGCGCTACCAGTCTGCGCGCCAGACGTGGAAGCCGGAGACGAAACGGACGTGCCGCCGCCAGTCGTGGTGACAGAGCCGGCAGAAGAGGCGGTTGACGAGACGGAAATAGTAGCAGACTGCGTGGCGCTGGTCGAGGTGGCAGCACACACGACGTCCTTGAACGCGGCGGCACCATCAGCCAGACTCTTCAAGATGGGAGCAGAGATTTGGCCAGCAATGCCCTTCAACGCGTCGGGAACCTTGGCGACGAGGGCATCAGAAAAGGCCTGGGAGTCGACCCTCTGCTCCACGAGCTGCGGGTAGACCTCGCAGCCGCGGCCAGAGTCAGCAAAGACGCGCTTCTTGGCGACCAAATCACCGACGGTCTTGTTGACAACGCCAATCAGGTTTTGCAGCGGCGGGACGAGTCCAAACGCCTCGTCCTGGCTCAACGACGGAGAGGCACGGGCATCCGCAGTACCCTTCTTGATGGCCGCGACCACGCCGTTGGAGGCGGCGATCAAGGCGTCCGCCTGCGCCGCGCCCTGGAACTCGTTGACCCGTGTCTGGAGAGCCGTGACGCTCGTGACAATGGCGGCAACGTCGGCCGAGAGCACGTCGCCCTGGCGCCTGGCGAGGGCCAAGGCCGTCGAGGCGAAGAGGAGGAACTTCATGGGTGGAGAGGGCCTGGGGCAAGAACAAGATCAAACGAATGGCGTTTCTGAACGAGCGTGGTTTTTCCGCTAGTCGACTGTTAGCAAAACTCAAATCGCCGCGGTGGGCAGCGTCTTGCGGGAATGCGACCATGGTCGTGTATATACATACTTTGGCCAAGCCCTCGTGCTGCCCCCTACGGGACGACATGGACACAACCCGTTCCCATCACAAGCTATTTGCCGCTGGCGTCTGGTGGACGGACCCGAGGTTGTCATCCCATCATAACCTGGGGTAGCGGCGCTATCGACTGCAAGAGCAAGGGGCCCAGGCCATCCTGATGGTGTCCCGCGAGCTGTCAAGGAGCGGTTAGGCGTGGCCAGTGCCCAACCCCGACATGGTCGCAGGACCTGATTGGATCGTTGGTCGTGCTCTGCCGTGGTTTGGCTCCCCCGCGCTGCAAGTCTGCGGGTGGAGCTAACCCGATGAAGGATCTGTCTGTGTTTCTGCCATACACTCACTTCCAAGTTGTCTCGCTAGCTGGCCAACCCGGGTTGTCTTTTTCCTTAAGAGACAAGAAATGCGACTGGACGGCTGTACACTGGCCTGTCCTATTGGAGTCCAGTTGTATGACGGGCCGAGATTGTTGTCGTTGTTGTCGAGTTCTAGGCCTTGTGTGGCCATGTATGTCTGACTTGTCTCTCGTGATGGGGAGAACTCGACTGGTTGCTATTTCCGCTAGCCCTTCCAAGAGAGGGCCAACAAGAGCATTGGTTGATCCCTTTAAGAAATCCGGCCCTTTTATAACATGGCCGGGTGGCTTGACTGCTGCGTCTTGACTTTGCCACTCTTGGCGGATTCGGCCGAGGCGCCTGTTTAGAGCCGAAATGGCACCGCGCTCTTCTTCTCAAGTGTAACCACCAGACGCCGACGTGTAGCAAGTGCCAACATCCTTTGCCGATGCTGCATAGAGTCAGAGCGCCGGGGAGAACCAAGCATCAAAAGCAGCCTTCGCCATGCGACAGAGTCGCCCTCATGTAACCTCGACGACTTCAGACCGAGATCCCTGCCTCCATATAAGAAAGCATTAGCACAGAGTAAAGCTGCGCTCAGATGTTGCCTCCAACGCCTCGCCATGCATCATGCCGTCACAATACGCTTCCCCAACGTACTGCCACAACTCGCCATTTCCTGATTCTGGACGTGCCACCCTCCTCAGTAGATGAGGCGTGGTGCCGCCGTGAAACACCGTCACTGCGTCTCCTGCCCTCATCTCCGGCGGCCCTATGCCCACGTACCCTGTCGCCGTGCGATACAGCCTGCGCCCGACATTCTTGAGAATATTGTCCGAAAACGCAGCCATGTCTTCTCTCGTGCCCTTGTCAGGGTCGAAGCCATGCTGTCTCATAGCCTCATCGCCAACATGTAATGTGACCTTGGCGTACCGTCGACGAAGTCGAAGATAGTAGGGTACCACGGATATGCGAGCCGACGCGACGCACATTCCGACCATGTCCTCGACAAAGTCGCCCAGAGCACTGCACAACACTCTGCACGCCAAAGACGGATCTCGCGCGCACATGCGCAGTGTGTCCATCTCGGGCGGCGGGATAAAGTACCACGGCGTGATGCCAACGGTCCGATAGATGCGCGAGATGTGGTAACTTGCGACGGTCTCGTCCGACTCGAGCAGACGCCGCCCTATTCTGTAGTAATAGCCATGGACGACACCGAGCCTCCTGACGCCGTCGTCCACGCCCAGCCGACGCACAAATTGCCCATGACTCAAGCCCGAGTCGCAAACCCGCCGGGACCGCAGGGCCAACGAGGTCTCGTCATCGTCGCGCATCGCGCCCGCATCCCGTGTAAATTGCGCAGCCTCGTCAAAGAACTTCTTTGCCCAGCGGTAGTCGACGTCTCTCTGCATCATGCCATCCACCCGGTCGCGATACGTACGCCCCCCAACAGCCACCACCTCGCCCACCATGCATCCCCGGATCGTCAGCCGCCCAGCCTCAAGGTCGACGCAGAATCGCCCCTGGTCCTCGGGTCCTCCGGCACAGAACAGGGCCTCTTTCAACGACGCATAGCCCACCGGCAGTCTGAGCTCCATTGTCCAGTCCGGAACCCACGACGGCAGCCCCCCCGTCTTCCTGCCCGCCTGGACGTACAGCAGCGCATCCACGCTGTGCCCCAGCAAGAGTGCCGCCACCTCCGTATAGATGCGCGCAACCCCGGCCTCCGGATCGACGGCGTCGTACCGGACACGCACCCGCCGGCGCAGGGGGTCGTCGTCGGCCGCGAGGCCCAGCAGCCCGAATATCCTGTCCTCCGGGAGCGTGGCGCCAATCTTGGCCCGGCCCCCGTTGACATTGTACCTGAGCACGACGTCGTAGAAGCTCTGCCGCACGCCCGTCGCGTGGATGGCCTTGCGCTCCTGCACGACCCGCTGCAGCCGCGGCGTCTTTTGGAAGATGGCGTCGCGCCGGCGCAGCTCCGTCCTGGTCCTGGGCCCCGGCTGCCGCACCCAGTGCGTGTTGCAGACGCTGAAGAACAGCGCGCCCGCGCGGAAGCACTCGAGGCACAGGGCCTGGCGGCCGCACACGACCGTCACCCCCGGCGCCAGGCAGGCCTCCTGGATCGTCCACAGGCGGCCGAACCAAGGGCGGTCCAGGACGTCGGCGAACCCGGCGACAGGGTACTGGTCGCCGCGGCGCTGGACGAGCGCGAGCAGCGCGTCGCGGTCCTCGCGCGCCTGCCCGGCCACCGAGACCGAGGGGTCCATGACGGCGTCGAAGACGCGCATGAAGCTCGGCGCCCGGGGGCCCATGAGCCCGCTTAGTAGGCCTGAGTGGCATATCTCGCGGGTGTAAGTGAACCATTCGTCTGACGCGCGGGTCGCGGTGCCCAGCCAGACGAGGGCGCGGCGGCAGCGCGAGGAAATGGGCCCGGCGGCAGCGCGAGTAAATGGCCCGCATGAGACGCACCTGGTGCGCCTTTTCGTTGTACCCGCCGCCGTTGGCGTCCTGGTTGATGCATATCTGGTCCACGAAGAGCGGGAGGTGCGTGGCTCTGTCCTGGACGAGGTGCAGGAGGGCGAGCTCCAGCGGGCGATGGATCCAGAGGCGGTACGATGCGCCGCGGTCTTCTACGATGATGGCGCGGTTCGGCTTCTCGTGGGCCGCGACGCCCCAGACGTATGTGAGGGCGTCGTACGCACGCGACGGCCTGGAGGCGGCGTCAATCTCGGCTTCGATTATTTCGATCCGCAGCGTGCCGTAGCAGCCTGGTATTACTGGTGGTTTTGGGGGGAGGAGCCGGATGAGACGAAATGTTTGCCGCGACAGGTCGAGCGGCGCGTAGGGATATATTTCTGGGCTGCGCATTCTGAACATGGTGATGGCTGGGCTGGGTGCCATCGACTGTCTGGTACAATAGAGGCAGGAGTTGATAATGGTCTGAGGCGCGCCTTGGGCTGCGATGGCTATTTCTTCGTCGCAACGCCAAGCGGCTGAGGGCTCCGACGCCTCAGCCGCAAGCAATATTGCTTCGTTGCCCAATCGATGGTGGTCGTTTGGTGGGAAACGTGGTCCACCTGCATGAAGGGATTGGCAGCCGCATGTTGATTCAATACGCTTGTGTATATTTCAAGTCTAATACACCTACGCTGTTGACATTTGCTGGTGATTGCTATGGCTTGGATAAAGGTGCTAACAGCGTCAAAAGTGGTAATGGTCGTGCCGGCGCAAGATGTACGCTGCAGCCAAAGTGTTATGCCGGCATAGTCGTTCTTGTATAATTAATTACTTAAACTAAAGCGGGAATATGTGAATGACTGCCATTCATGTCAGTCTTTGACACTAATGTTGGCCAACATGGCTTTTATTAGTACTATTGCTCTCTGCCAAATGGTTAGGTCTGGGGTTAGGGTTATCTGAATACATGGCAACTTGCAGTCTGGTTCTGCATCGTAGCTAATTAGATGGCCTCCACGGCCAGCAGTGAGACAGCACATGTGCAGGTCGCACATAAAACGCCTGGTACCATGGTATTCCCCTACCCATCCCAGCGCAGTCAAGACACGGCTCGGCGCGTGACACATATTCTCGGCACGGTGCACAACATCAGGTACACAAAAGAGGCAAGCGTTTCCGAATCGAGACATGCTCGTGCCGTTCCCCAAGTAAAATAGCCCAACGCGATGACACTTGCATCCAAACAACCGCCCAAATACTTGCCAAGGATGAAAACGATGCTCAGATCGAATTGGAATCACGCCACTTTACAAACTCGCCGATGCCACGAATCCGCTACAAGGCGCGACCTTGATCAAGCTCCGTTCACTGATGAATCGGGTGCAAATCGAATCCTACCCTGGGGCCAAGATGACAATTCACGTCCATAATCCATCACAGCCAGCACATAATGCCAACACCACATCTGCAGATCTCGACATGAGGCAAATGCATACATTCTGCCAGAGTCCGCAACGCCACGTGCTACAAGGCAAAACAGCTCCTGCACTTGGGCACCGAAACCAGCCGGGACGCCGGCCGGCTCCTTGTCCATCTCCAGTCCAATGTCCACGCGGGAGGCGGCTGAACTACCAGTTTAGTCCTCGGCGATGCTACCCCAGACCGGAACCCTTGCAGATCAAAAGCCGTCCTGGATTGAGACGATGCTACCTCCGAGCGGGCCTTCTCGGGCCTATTGTTGACGGGCATGTCATGGACTGATTCGGGACGCCAAGAGGACCTGCTTGATGGAGAGGTGATTGCCGGTCATGGGAAACGGTGTGCTGCATGATGGGAGGATTCACTATACACTAGGAAGAAGGCGGCATCGTTCCACGACAGGTGTCAATATATAGCAAGTGCCATACCCCTTCTGAAAAACTGGTTGGTGGCGTTGTGCAAAATCACTTCACAGCCAACTCCCACCGTGACCTAGTGCCCGCCGCTATGAAGCCATCGTTGCCAACAACGCTCACTTTGCTGGCGCAGCTCGCCCACGCCGCCGACAAGAACGCCTGGAAATCGCGAAGCATCTACTTCGCCCTGACGGACCGCATTGCCCGAAGCAGCAGCGACAATGGCGGCGACCCGTGCGGCAACCTGGGCGACTACTGCGGCGGCACGTTCCAGGGACTCGAGGGGAAGCTCGACTACATCAGGGGCATGGGATTTGACGCCATCTGGATCACGCCCGTGGTGGCCAGTACGCAGGGCCAACGCAAGACGAAACCCGTGCCACTACTAACATGTCGACAGATGCCGCCGGCGGCTACCACGGATACTGGGCTCAAGACCTGTACGCCATCAATGCCCACTACGGCAGCGCAAACGACTTGAAGAAGCTCGTCGACGCCGCCCACGAAAAGGTACGAGACTCCTTCCTCACCCACAAGCAGCCACATACTCACCCTGCAGCAAATGTACGTCATGATAGACGTGGTAGCAAACCACATGGGCCCGTCCGCCCTCGCCTCCCGCCAGCCCTCCCCCCTCGACCAAGCGTCGTCCTACCACCCCCCCTGCCCGATCGACTACTCCAACCAGACGTCCATCGAGAACTGCCAAATCGCCAACCTCCCCGACCTCGACACGCAGTCGCCCGCCATCCGCCGCCTCTACCGCGACTGGATCCAGTGGCTCGTCAGGGAGTACGCCCCCGACGGCGTCCGCATCGACACGGTCAAGCACGTCGAGCACGACTACTGGGCGGGCTTCGCCTCCGCCGCCGCCGTCTACACCCTCGGCGAGGTGTTCCACGGCGACCCGGCCTACGTCGCCCGCTACGCCGGCTCCATGCCCGGCCTGCTCAACTACCCCGTGTACTACCCGCTCACCGACTTCTTCCAGCAGCGCGGCCACCCCCAGGCCCTGGTGGACATGCACGACCGCGTGGGCGCCGCGTTCCCGGACCCCTCGGCCCTGGGCACCTTTCTCGACAACCACGACAACCCGCGCTTCCTCCACCAGAGGGGCGACAACGTGGCGCTGCTCAAGAACGCGCTCGCCTACGTGCTCCTCGCGCGCGGCGTGCCCGTCGTGTACTACGGCACGGAGCAGGGCTTCGCGGGCGCCGCGGACCCGGAGAACAGGGAGGACCTGTGGAGGAGCGGCTTCGGCACGGGCGGCGACTTGTACGGGTTTATTGGCAAGCTGACGGGCGTGAAGAAGGCGGCCGGCGGGCTGGCGCGCGACGACCACGTCCACCTGTTTGTGGACGAGACGGCGTACGCGTGGAGCAGGGAGGGCGGCAGGGTGATGGTGCTGACGAGCAATATCGGACGGGGGCACACGCGCGAGTACTGCTTCTTCACGCGGAGGCCGGGCGGGCGGTGGGAGGGCGTGCTCGACGGGGAGACGTATGCGGCCGACGGGGAGGGGAGGCTGTGCGCGACTGTGAGGGACGGGGCGCCGGTTGTGTTTAGGGGGCTGATGTAGAGCTGACGAGACGAGGATTCACTGCTGTTGAGGCTCGAGGAGATGAGAGGTGAACTGGCTGTCTGGAGTGAAGATGGAAGGGATGTGCAGACACGAGGCTGACGTGTGCGACGGCTGCGTGCTCAAGACACGCGATACTTCAATGTTGGTACTCGGTAGCCTTTGAAAATAGTAGTCGATTCGGTGAATCCGAGCCAGGATTCACTACTCACACAGGTGCTAAGCCGAGACTCTCGTATGCTTGGACAGTGCGCCTTTGCATGCTGCGCTCTTGTAACACGACTTGTGGACAGGCCAATCATGGTTCAGTTCAAGCTTTTGGTTGCTATCTTGACTACTACGGAGTACTACTACTAGGAACTGCGTTGTTGGTGCTGCGGGCTTTGTCATGGACGGGGAATCTGTTGTTCACCCCTTTCTACCCTGTCATTGTCGTCATGTCTAACAAATAGTCCGATAGGTTCAGTTTCAAGTTGGACGGACGCGTAGATGGAGCGTATGCAGGCAAGTTGGGAACGCTACTGGAACACAGGCATGTCTCCCAGTCGTCTCTGTGAGTAACTACCGCTGGGAGGGATCGGGCATCTACTCCGAGGATATGGAGCACGGGTTCACTTACCTACCTATGCTACCTACCTTGATTCGTGTACGGAGTATCCTTGGCGGATTGCGTTTGTAAAGCTCGGTTGGTTCATCACGCCAAAGGGACCATGCGCAATCGTCGAAACCAATGAGCGGCAGCCTAAGGTGACGCAAAAGTCAATCCGGGGTTGCGCAACTGCTGGTGTTGGTTGCTTGAAATTCTGCACTCGTGGCCAATTTGCAGTGGAGGGGTGATTTCTTGGCCCCAAAGTGTCGGTTTTGTCCGAACTTTGCCGATATTCCCGACGCCTGGCCCGGCGCATCGTGATCCATTCAAACACCCAGGGAAGGGTTTATTGAATAAAGATGAAACTTGACGACGGAGCCTTCCGCACTCCAAGTCATGGGCAGTGGGACCCAACGGATGGAAGCATCTAGCAAAACTAGAATGCGCTGGTGACGCATGCCAACTGGTTTTTTTTCTTTGATCCACCACCCCGAAAAGTCTGGTAGGCATCGGGAAAGGGAAGGGGAAAAAAAAATCAGGCCATTGGCGTACAAGTTGGTTCAACGGGGACAAGCGTTTCGCGTCTCCGGATAGCTTTACGCTTAAACTGGGGCCTGCAAATTCATGTGGTGTTCGGACAAGTGCGACAACAGATGAGGCGCCACTGCTGTTAGGAGTTTCGGGCCGTGGCGACATCAACGTGGTTGTACCCCATCCTGTGAAGCTGACGACGCTCCAGACTTCGGGTTGCCCTAGTCCCGTCGATAATCAGTCGGGGACGCGACTCCATCAACCCTTGGTGACGGTGGTGCTTTTGCGAGAACCGATCGGATTGGGATGCAGGGATGACACCGCACCCGCCGCTTTGTCCTCGCCGCCGCATCTCATTTGGCCGAACCTAGTAGTATTTCGATTCTTTTCTCGGTCGCTGTCTTTGTCGGTGCCGTCTCGAATTCCTGTTTTAATTCAAGCCGCGTGGCGTCGTCCCCCGCTACCCCCTCTGATATATGTCCCACGTATCCTGCTGCATCTCCTTCTTTGCCTTTCTGCTTTGATTCTCTCCTGCCCAAATCGCAATCTACCCCAAAGCGCCTGACTGCACCCAACAGTCGCTTTCATCCCGTCGACTAAGAATTTGCACTTGCGAACCCTTTTCCTTTTCAACCGCAATCATGGGCACCGAGTGCTGCTCTGGCCACGGCAGCCATGATGCCGTTCCCGCAGCGGTATCTGAACACAACCAGAACAGTCTTCACAACGAAGAACACGGCCACCACCACGGCGGCCACAATCATGAACAAGTCCAGGACCACGGACACATTCACGACCACGACCATGGCCCAGACCCTTGCATGGG